CAATTTTTGACACATGTTTTTTGTATTCTTATTCTGATTTTTTTATGTTAAAAAAAACATTTTGATTTTTATTTTAAATTTTTTTTGTGATTTTTTTAAATTCTTATTATTCTTATCCTGGTAAAACCCCAACCAGAGACCAAGTGACATACTTTTACCACATTTTTTATTTTTATTTTTAATCTTATTTTTTTATATAATTTTTATTTTCAATTTTTTTTTTATTAATTTTTTTCTATTCTTGTTATTCTTATCCTGGTAAAACCTCCACCAAGGATAATGTGATAGATTTTTGCCACATGTTTTTTATTATTATCATTCTTATTGTTTTTCATTAAAAAAAAAAAATGTTTTCAATTTTATTTCGATTCTTTTTATTCTTATTATTCTTATTCTTATCCTGGTAAAACTACTTCTAGAGACCATGTGATTGATTTTTGCCACATTTTTTTTTATTCTTATTTATTTATTTATTTTTAATTATATTTTTATGATTTTTTTTTATTTCAATTTTTTCTCAATTTCTTTTTTTTTATTCTTATTATTCTTATCCTTCTAAAACCACCACCAGAGACCATGTGTTTGTTTTTTGCCACATGTTTTTATTCTTACAATTTTATATAAAAAAAAAATATTTTCAATTTAATTTTTTATTTATTTTATTTTTTAAATTCTTATTCTTATCATAGTAAGAACCCCACCAGAGACTGTTTGACCGATTTTTGCCAGGTCTTTAAAACCAGTGAATTCAACAACACAGAGACAGTTGGCTTCAAGTGTGTCTCTTGTTCCCATAGTAACAACACCGTCCATTGTGTGATCTCTTTTAGGGTATTAAGGCAATCCCACAAGGACAAACTACAGCAGTAAAGTCAACCTAAAGTTCGTGTTGTTATAATTATAACTACAGGTCATTATGTCGTCCTCCTTACTTTTAGGTGGTACAAAATAAAAACAAACTAACAAGCTAACATGGACATGTTCTGTTTTTAAGGCCTATGGTAGCCATCCTGGTTGTTTTTTATAAAGTGATAAAAAGTGTTCGCTGTTTTGGACTAACTCTGTGTTACGGTGTGTTTGACCCTAACTTAATTTTTCACCAGAATATCCCTTTAATGCTGAACAACAAGCACAGATGTCAGCTATTCATGGTGTAATCTGGGGGCACTAGCATATAACCAGTCGACTATAACGATGCAAAACCAGCATGAGTATTTGTAACAAATCAGCCCAATTTCGACAGTTTTCTGGCACTTCAGATTATCCCCCGATAATCGACTTAATCGACGACTTATTATCGCAGATAATCAAGCAAATGAAGCCGAATAGTTGAGCCTGAGATATAAAAATGTCTTACTTTGTGCCATCCCCATATGGACCAGGTGAACCCGACTCCTTCTCACGCGTCACATGGTTCCCTGCTACTTTGTGGGTTGAATGTAGTTTGTATCTAATTGAGCCGTTGGAGGATTTTCAAAGGAAAAAGAAAAACAATCCTGCTCAAACAGCCGTGCACTGCGCCGCAGTTGACAGCTTCTTGTGTTTCCTCTCCCTTCAGATGTGATGTGATTTAATCTGATTCCATCCCATCTGATCTTGTCGCTCCTCATCACCAGTAATCTGGAATATTGTCCACATACGTCTTAATAAAGGCGCTGAAAGATGCGGGAAAACAAAGGGCGCGCAGTCGTGGTCTTATCCTGTGATCACAAGAGACGTTTTGAGGCTAAAGCTCATGTGGTTCAGTAAACAAATGAAATCCCAGCTTGGAATAAAGGACTCGCCAAAACAGGACCTTTAAACAGCGATTCACTTCAGCTGCAGGATTTTCCTCATGAATACGAGATCAAACCGTTTTCACGAATCCTGATCTGAGCAGCTCCTCCTGATAGGAAGTGAGTCAGATTGACCTTTGACTTCCTTCAGGTCATCTTCTGAATGATTTTAGCTGACACCAACTTTAAAAAAAAATCCTTTAACCCTTCTTCGGTTTCGCACAAGTCGAGATTTTCTCTCCTGTCAGATCAATATGATCACCTCAGCTTTGAAAGCTTTTCTCTCCTCATTGATCCTCAATTGGAAAATTGACAAAAAGGGAAATTGATCCTTTTTTAGAAGGACGCTGAAGCAGAACAAATTTAAATAGATCTTCAAGAAGGGAACCATCAAAGGAGAGAAAAAAACAAAACAAAACAAAACCTAACTGCAGTTCCTCCAGCGTCCACTAGAGGCCCAAAAGCTCAGGAAACTTCATTAGAGCTCATATCTGTTCTCATATTTGTTCTGTTTGTATCAAGGCGAAGAGATCAGAATAATAAAGTAAAATCAAATTATTCAACCCCAAACAAATCTGTAACTCTTCAGGGCATACCTTAGTCCGATGTTTGAAACATCTTAATATGTCGGTGAGTAAGAAAGTCAGCGTGCAGTTCTTCTAAGCCGACATAACTTCGGGCTATCTTAATCAAAAATACATAAAACATGACTTCCTCAAAAACAAACTTCCTCCTCAGTGAACATCGTTTCTGTCTGAGTCACAGCAGGTACATTTTCATCTGCGCTTTTGGACCACCTCCCATGACCCAAAGCTAAAACTTCTACATATATTTGCAAATCACAAGAGGACACAGTATATCGAAAAGACGAAATATTTAGGAATTTCTAACAGTGAAAATCTTTATTCGCCATATTTATTTTCAGATACATAAATTTAAACCTGCTTGATGTGGCTGACACTGTCGTAACGGAAATGTTGTTGTGTTTATAGTATTGGCTCTAAAATTAAACTGATGCATTGTGGATACTTAGGGTCAAATCCACTCGCTTTGTGAGACCGGCTTTATTCAGGGTGTGTTTCTGTGACATCCACAAAGAAAATCGGTTCATCTTTATAGACCGTCCATGTACTGACCCTCTAAAATCACTGTGATCTGTGATGATTTATGTCTAAATTTGAGTAAAATTGTGTCGTTTCTGTTGTTAGTTGACCAAACTGACTGGAGTTGGAAATTTTGATTTGATGTGTTGACCAATCTGAGGCTGTTTTCACAATCAGCTGACCTGTAAGCGTCCATTGAGTGGTCACTGCAGCCTAAAGCCTGGTTTATACTCCTGCGTTGGACCCCCAGACTCTTGCGCACAGCCGACATGCATTTCCTCGAAAGTGTAACAGTGCTGGTAGACCGATGCAGCTTAGAGCAGCTAGACGTCTCACCACTTTAGCATAATTTTGTCATATTAAGGGATAAAATTTTTAAAAATGCAGCACAATCAATCTGTATCTGGAATGCAAGAAGTCCTAGAACAGATAGGCGTCCGTCAGAAGCTGCAGTCCATGACTTAGCGGCAGTTTTGTCCGTCTCCCCTCTGTTATTCCACGCAATAATCAAAGCATGATCACAATGTTTATCGGCTTCAACTCAAGTATATTATACCCAGATTTAGTTGCTATGGTTACCCGTAAACAGATAAGAAGGGGACTGTAAACTTGCAATATGACGGGCATAGACAAGTAGGTAGCGCTCATGACGGCGTAGGTCCTACGCGGAAGTATAATCCGGACTACAGATGTCTAAGAAATTCGGAAAATAGAAGAGTTTTAGGTGAAATGATCATGTTTAGCTAATTGTAGAATAAGTTGATCTGCACTCTTTCTATGCACCGGAAAGTCCTCTTAAAGGGATATTCCGGCGTAAAATTAAGTTAGGGTCAAACACACCATAACACCGAGTTAGACACCCCCTCGAGAGATGTATGTTGTCGACCGCTTGCTTCTCTAGTTATACCAACTTTAGTAACGACCGCATGATAGCAATACACAGCTGTCTAAGGAGCCATAAACAAACGTCAACCAACCTGCCGCTCTATAGCCACAAATAATGTTCAGAACAGCACCTAACTTCATCAACAGGACATATAGGGTCCCAGCCATAGTACTAGACACCAAACATCTTTTTAACATTGTCTAATTTCTTTAGCAAAGAGACTAAATACACTTCACCCACTCTCTTCCAGCAGCCGCTTGTTTGTAGCAAGACCTCGTACCAGTCCATCATCGACTAAGGCGGGGTTTCACAGCTCAAGGAAGAACATTTATGATAATTTCCTTGAAGTACTAATCATCATATTAGACGGATGCTGGGAGAGAGTGGGTGAGTTGTGTGTGTTTGACCCTAAATTAATTTTACACCGGAAAATCCCTTAAAAAAATAAATCCTAACTCTAACCACAAACTGTACCTTTAAGACACACGGTGTAACACATGTACATGCGATCATGTGTGTCAAGGGGATGTGCAAAGACAAAGCGTCCTATTTACCCTGGCTGTAATTGAGTGCTCTAAATTCTTAATTCCGGCTCGGTAATGAAGAAGTCATGCTCTGTAGAGTCCTCCACGAGAGCCTGTTTGAACTGGAACAGCACCCAGAGGGGTCTCCAATGAAGCCAGCTCCTGAGGGGGTCCTGATAGCGAAACTAGCATCCCCCAAAGAGAGCGCGGCAGCAGGAGGACGGTAGACTTTCAGCTATTGAAATTAATTTGTGGGATTGATTCAAGGCGGCGTTGAAATCAAAGAGAGGAGCCTTTCATTCGAACCGTTTTTTTTTTAAATGTTTAATGCATGTAATCGACAAAACAGACAAAAGCAAAGTTTATAGAGTTCAAAGCAATATGCAGCAAATTTTATTTAGTGCAGAAAACACAGTACAGGGAGTGTTCTTGTGCATTCTCACCTTTAGCCACCTTGCTCTGAAAGTCCAACAACATATCGTATATTGAAATGTCAAAATACACAGAATAGAAGGAATTTATAGCCTAAAACATACAAATATGGATTTCACATGCCGTCACATCAGGAACACAACAAAACGATTCACGAAAACGCAGGTTTCCACATGGATAGTAGGAACGTAATGAAATAAAAACAGCAATAACTTAAGCTTCAGTCGCCATGGTGGAAGAAGAAATGAGGGGGGAAAGTTGGTTGATTGGTTTGTTGGTTGGTTGGTTGGTTGGTTGTGGGATGGGGCCCTGTAGAGCTTCCTGATTGGCAGATGCCTCCCTGAATGGACGGTGGTCAGTGATTGGCCACGTTGCGAAGGGGGGAAACCCATTTAGAAACGCCGCATCATGAGCGTACAATCATCCCCCTGGAAATTAAACCACGCTTTGCATGCTTTCTTTTTTTTTACAGCAGGATGCTCCGGGTTTGTTTTCCTCCTGGGCTGTTTCAGTGTTTCACGCCACTACAGACGACATAACAGAAGGGATGCACAAGAAAAGACTCTCTAAATATACATGTTTTTCTCCTCTAAAGTATGGCTTTGATGTCATTTCTAGGCTGTAAAGCTGCGCCCAAATATCCGCCGTTGGCATACCGCACCGATTACTTTTCGCTACCGAGTACATTATATTCTTGTCAAGCATAATAAGAAGTGGATGTAGATAAACATATACAGGCAGGGGGTGGATATTAAGTTCGCAAGCATGGATTTAGGGAGACATTGTACAGACGCTCGTGTGTATAAATGGTATGTACAAAAGAAACCCTGGCCGCTCTGGTCTGTCGTGACGTCAAAGGGGGTTTTAAGGAGGATGTCGGGACTAGTTGTACACAGATTTTCTCCATTCATGATCACAGCAGTGAGACGAGCTTTTCTTACCCCATTCACACGACAATGCGTTTGCCGAAAACCATCTTTCGGTCGCCCTCGGGGAAGGGAAGTAAAACGAGGTCGCGCTAACAAAGCAGAGCAAGAACGCACCATCGACTTAAAAGAAACAGATATCAAGTCTAGAGTCCCGATTACTGTAATGTGATGCAGGCGGTAACAAAAGGGTTGATCTGAAATAAGCAGTGTGGAATAAACAATAATGATGGGTTATGATCTGCACAACATGCTGACGTTGCAGCAGTAAACTGCGGCCGCGTTCGCAAAGTGCATCAAATGGCTTATTGACCGTTCGAAAGGTATGCAGTCGGATCAGTACATAAGAGGTTGAGATACTGCGAAGAATAAAGTGAAATGCAGCGTTAACAGAAGTCAAGTCGGCACATGGAGAGAAGAATCGACTGATGTCTAAAGGTCGAATTAATATCGAACTCTTTCTCTAAGGTTTAGAAGCGAGGCCTCTGATCTTCTGCCCTCTAAACCAGGAGAAAAAAGCCAAATGTTGTTGGATGCCACAGGGAGCGAAGCCTCAACCCCGCCAGAATAAAAGCTTTCAGTCGCAGGGTCACCTCTCTTACCAAGCCCGCCTCAAATCCACACGGCTTATCACGAGTCCCATTTCACATTGAAACGACCGGCTTGCAGTGACTTTTTCTTTGAGTTGTGTCCGTTGCCGGGCAACAATAACCTCCTTCAGATTCTGACAGGTAGTTATTTCCAGCCTCCAGACACAAGACTCGAGTTTTTAATTACACGGATCCGAGCAGGTCCCTCTCCGGCGAAACACAAAATCTCCAAAGATGGGACGCGTTTGACGTCCAGTGTGACGCAAACGCAGATGTTTCAACGCTTTCTAATAACGGAGCGGCCTGATCTTTGGTTGGTCCATTGTTATGCTGTGAAACTCCTGAAAACTTTCAAAATAAAGCTCAGAAAAGAAACAGATAAAATCGCATAATGGAGATCTTAAAAAGGAGTTTGGGTAACACTTTACAATAACCATCATTTATAGATAGTTATTGATGTTTAATCATCATTTAAAAACAGCATAAAGACCAAATATAAACAGCAAATAGTTTATTAATGTAAGTATATTAGTTACTTTACCATTAACAAGCAATGAAATTATGATTTATAATTTCATTAATTATTAATGGACGATTTATTAAAGGTTTAAATATTGGTTGTAAAACATCTAGATTGAAATGTGTGTCAGTAGCACTTTGTAAATGGTAAATATTTGTTTTTTAAACCATCTATAAACATTATTTAGATGGTCATTGTAAAGGTAGAATTATGGTTCCTTTTTTAAAATTGTAAAATTTAAAGTTTTTAGGTTTTTAAAATTTATTAATCGTCTATATGCTGTTTATAAATGATGATTAAACCTTAATAAACATTTATAAATGGTCTAATTACCATTGATAAGTTATGGTTGTTGTAAAGTGTTAATGGAGTTTAAAATGTTTGAACCAGTTTTCACTTTTAAGCATTTTAAGGACACGTTTATTGTTCGTCCTTCTACCCATGTCGTAATTTGACGACATTTTTTAAAGTTCGGGGAATCCCGCCCGATCAATTCATCTGTTTGAGCTTTTAGAAACTGATCAAACGTTCCAGGAGCACCACAACTTCAGATCACAATGACGCAAAAGTTGTACAAATTAGTTAAAACTCTAAACATATGTGGCGTTACAATCAATTACAACCTCGTCCACTGTTGCCAGATTTGTAATCAACTTTTGTCAAAATCCGGTCAAAGAAGAGAAAGAAAGTTTGATATCAAACTCAGGTGACGTCTTAAATAAATCTCGTCCACGCTGTGAAGGACGGAGGAAACAGACTGGGACAGAAAAGAGCGAGCAGGCAGGATGGTGGGTAGGCGGCAAGGCGGCTGGCTTGTGCTGGTTGCGCTTTTTTGCAGCCCGTCCTTGAAATAGAAAAGAGGTTACATTCCAATAATAATTCTAGTAATTAGTCAGAGTATTATTAAAGCGATGGAGAGTACGTCTGGCTTTATGGGAGCGGTTCAGTGTGCTACATACATCGAGTAAGAGTGGGGGGAGGGGGCGGATGAAGCAGAAGAGAGTGTGTGTTAACTGTTGTCCCAAAATATGTACAATTTGAGTTTATTGTCGGCGTTTATTTCTCCGGTGTGCTTCTTTTTCGCAGCACCTTCTGCATTTCCTTTTTTTTCCCCCTTTCCTGTCTCCGCCCGGCAGCTGCAGCGTCTCTCTGCCTCGTCCGCCTGATCTAAAGGTGACAGGGCTCGGGTTCACGGCTGGCATCTGCTCAGAATCATTATCAAGTGTTTATTTAAGGCTGCGGAGGTTCGAGTTACCTACCGGGGGCCACCGCGCAACCCGACACCGAGCGCGGTCGAGAGTCCTCGGCCGTGGACAGACGCTGTGTAAATGCCGTAAACGCGACTTAAGGCGGAGGAGCAATATGACACCGGAGTTCAAACTATTCTTGGTCGTGTAAAGATGGAAGAAAGGTGGTGAGGCCACGAGAGGAGGCATGATAACAATGTGCAGTGTTCGGTTTCTGGTTTGCTCTGTCCTCTTACGACTTTGTGTTGTTATAGCTGGAATTTAAAACCGCCTATTGAAGCTTTTAACCACATATATATGTCGTTACTGTTTGGTGTTTTGTTGGAGAAAGCTGCTCGATTACTTCCTCTATTACAATCAAACTCCATCAGCTGAGGAAGAGCCATGAAAACTTATAACTTGAGTCGAAACATTTTGTCCTTTGAAAGCAGCAAAAACAAAAAATATTAAGAATTGGGTTCAAAAAGAGGCTAAAGTGTTCCCTAAATGCATTTTTAAAGATTAAACTTTCAACAACAGGGCTGGTAGAAATAAAAAAAAATAAAATCCCGAATTCAATCTATGGGTTGTACAGTTTTTAGCAAGCTAGCTAACCTAAAAGCAAAAAAAATGAAGGTTACAAACTTAGAAACAGAAAACTGATAACAAAATGAAGAATAGGTTTTAAATGTAACGTAAAAATTCTCGTCTCTACTTTTGGGGTTTTAACAAAAAATATAGCAGCATTAGCCTCAGGTATGAAAATACGATTCAGGATAGAGGCCGAACTCCTATCACAGTACAAACGACACAAATGTCTCTAGAATAGCAGAGCTAAATGACGTGTTTGTTAAATTTAAGAGAACACTTTTAATATCATTATAAGCTAGGAAGGTAGAATGCTAGCCAAAGGCAATTGTACGCTAGCAATGTTATTATGCTAACTAAATAGCCTCGAGAACCAGACAAACAAACCAATTTTTAAAAAAGTTTAAACCTTGCCGAACTATTTATCCGGAAAAATAAACAAGAATTAGCCAACTGGTTGAAAGCACAACAAAAAAATGAGGTTACGTAGCCTTTGTAGCTTTTGGGGTTTTACCCATAAAATGTAGCAGCATTAGCCTCAAGTATGAAAATACGATCCAAGATAGAGGCCAAATAGCAGCGCTGAATGACGTATTTGTCGAATTTAAGTGAACATTTGTAACATCATTATTAGCTACAAGTGCAATGCTAGCCAAAGGCAATTGTACGCTAGCAATGTTATTATGCTAACTAAATTAGCCTAAAGCTAATTTAGTTAGTTAACAAGTATCTTTAAAAGAGCAGAGGCAAATGAGTGTTTTTGGACTTTACGTGAACTTTTTTAACATCATTATTAGCTAAGAAGAGCGAACGCTAGCCAAAGGCAGTTGTTCGTTATCAACGTTATTATGCTAACTAAATTAGCCTAAAGCCTAGAAAAGACAGTCCAAACCAGACCAAGAAATACCCAATTAAAAAAAGTTAAAACTCTGCCGAACTTTTCGCTCCCACCAATAATCAAGAATCAGCCGCCCGGTTGAAACTACGATCAAAAATGGAGGTTAGGTAGGAAAAACTGGTATTTATACGTCTAATTGCAGCGCTTCTATGTCAGCATTTTTAACGCCTTTGCTGCTAAAAAGTCAAAGTGGCTCACAGACGAGTCAGTTTACACCCTAGATGTGACAAAGACGATGTCGACCTCGCTTGCCCTCTCTGCTGCGGCGAGTTAATTAAATTAAAAGAACCGCTCGAAATTATTCATCGGTACGTCTTGTCATCGGACTATCGGTGACGGGGTTGTGGGGTGTTTTTTGTCAGTATGAATGTTTGAATGATTTTCCACCGGGCCCTCCAGCCCTCATTGATATTAAACAGCATCAGATATCAGCGAAGGGGGCCGCCGCCGAGAGACGCTGTCGACGCATCAACACCTGATGGTCGCTAATGTGTCAATCATCGGTAGTAATAGTTCAGAGCGGTGTTAACGGCTCATGTGAGCGCGCGGCGTGTCTGCTTTCCATCACATATTGATCTCGCCTGCAGCAAATTGCCTCCGACTGTGGCGAGTTGGCGAGCCAGTTTCCATGACCACCACCTCCGTCACCTGCGAGATCAGGCTGGCAGAGGCGATCCAATATCTGGCCTACATGGGAGGCAATAGGGAGGTGATTTTACACCCGAGACTGTTACTCGGTGTTATGTTCAACCTCGCGGGGAGACAGAGAGACAGGATGAAAGAAGTCGTGTGATGCCGACGGAGGCGGAAAGGAAACCCGGGGAACTAGAGAGTGTGCTTCTCTTCTTTTTTTTGTGCGTTCTTGCTTCATCTGCGTTGAAGGACGTGTGCTTGTTCTGTCATTCAGGAAAAAGAGAAGCTGTGTTTAAAGTACAACTTCTGTCTGCATGTGCGCTTGGCTTGCGTTACATCTGAAGGAGTAGCGAGGAGATAGGAGATAGGAGATAGGATGCATGATCTGAAGGGGAAGGGGAGGGGGTTAAGGGACACACAGGTGATATGACGGGATATCTGCGAAGGTTAATTTTGGTAACGGGAGGTTACAGTATTTCGTCATGCTAGATTATAAATCCAAATCTTCACCTTTTCTTTCTTTTCTCTCTTTATTGCCCCGTCCTTCGTACTCATCCTCATCTCTCATGCAAAAAGGCGTTTCAAGACACTTTGCATAATAAAGTCCTGAACCATTTTTAATCCCACCCACCCAAAAACCACTTATCTTGATCATTTACCATTTATCTGTACAACTGCGGATTTTTTTGTCTCTTTTTTTTTTTTCTTCTTTCCCTTTTTTAATTTCTTATATAATCACAGTCACTCTACTTCTTCTTCTTCTGGAAACGTCTGAACTGGTTCTGGATGGCGAGCGCTGCCTTCTCCGTCTCCGGCGCCTCCAGGTCGATGTCGATCTCCTCCTCCTGCTCCTGAGGCTTCGCCGCTGCCTTCTCTAGAGGAGGGTGAGAGGGTACAAGATCTGAGGTTAATACACAAGCGCGCCGGAGGAGAAGTTGATCAATCAAAGCGGGGATTGATCCAATTAGTTGGGAAAATGCGGCGAGAGGTTCAGGGAGCGTTTCCTGACCGTGACCCTGAAAGCCCTCCACGCCATCCCAGCTGTAATTTAAGAGGAACAGATACAACAAAGACGAAGGAAGCGGGGGAAATAAAGCTCAGGACTGTAAATGTACCCGGCTGACAGTAACAAGTCGGTGCTTGATGGTGCTTTAAAAACCGCACTGCATGTCGGTCTAATCTCCGGAGACTCCTGCAGAGAGCGGTGTGGCTGAACAAACGGCACCTCCTTTAAATGAGCGCAGCCGTGCAGAATGATCTCTTAAAATCTATTGAAGACAAAAGAACATTCGTGGCTGCTCCGGAACCAAACATGTCACTTTCACTTTATTCACTTCAGAGGAACAGCTCGTTTCCTATTAAAATGAGCGTATAAACAGGGCTGCACCGTCTTGAAAATACCCTTTAAATTTGGGGGTTTTAATTTGACCACACTTTGTTCAACCCTGGATCAGCTGAGGTGGGTTAATGCTGGCTAAAGCTTCATCTAAACTTTATTCATCACGCCGCGCACAGAGTGGTAAACAAGTATTTTCGTATCATGTTTTATTGTTGTGTTCAAGGTTTAAAGTCATAATCTGACTGCTTTAAAGCTCCTGTGAGGAGTTTTTTGACGTCTAATAAATAGACTAAAATTCATACTGATGTTCTTCATGATACCCAAAAGCAAACAAGAACGTCAGCGACACGATCGAGGATTATCGTACCGTGATTTTTAACGCCTGAATCTCGTACGAGAGGGGGTAGGTGGCGGCTGAAGACACAGTCCTGTTTTTATAATTTTTAAAAATGACACATTTGGCAATTAAAGTCTGAAGTATGAGATGCAATTTCAGTGTGTGAGGGACAAGATAAGCGTAACCTGCTTTGTCCACATGGTGGCGCCAAAATCAAAACAAACTGAAAGTTCCCCACAGGAGCTTTAAATTAAAAAAACACATTTGACTGTTGTTAGCAGATAACATTCAGCCACTTTCTCGTTAGTATCATAATATTTCTTATCTGCTGCTGAATTAACACTTATAAAAATGAGGGTAAGATTACCGGTGTTACGGTTTTAAAAGCATCCATGTAAATTAGTGACTTTACGGTAAAAGATGATGTGGTTGTCAGTATAACAGGCTAAAAAAACTAGCTTACGGGATCACTTTACATTCACACTGCGGTACTTCAACTGTTAGCTAGCTAAAAATAATCAAAACATGAAAGTGTCTGAATGCTAATGTTAGCTGTGCATGTTAGCTACCCATAAGCTACAACCTGCTTTGTCCACAAGGGGGCGCCAAAACTAGCACGAAATGAAAGTTCCTCACAGGAGCTTTAAATAAAAAAATGAAAAAAAAACTTTTGACCGCTGTTAGCTAACATCAGAACGCAGATAACATTCAGTAATTTTCTCGTTAACGTTTACACTCAAAAATCTTGAACTTGCTGGTACCCTAGTAAATGATGTCACACCTGAATTCCCAGCGTTTAAGTTACCAAGTCAGAAAAAAGCAAAATCTGAAGTGGAAACAAGATGGCTACATCGAGGAAAGTTATTTTAGTGCTTGCCTTATATTCAGACAAGGCCAGTGCTAAAATAACTTTCGTAGATGTCGCCATCTTGTGTCCACCTCCAATTTTGCTTTTTTCCGACTTGGTAACTGAAACGCTGGAAACTGGGGTGTGACGTCATTTTCAGCTCGGACTTCCGACTTCCAAGGTAACTCGAACACACCATAAGATTACCGGTGTTATGGTTTAAAAAGCATCCATGTAAATCAGTGACTTTCAGCTGAATGATTACGTGGTTGTCATAGTAACAGGCTAAAAAAAACTAGCTCATCCAGTCACTTTTTTAACAATAACACCTACATTCACTTGTGCTGAACTTAAATTGTTAGCTAGCTAAAAATAATCTAAAAATGAAAGTGGCTGAATGCTAATGTTAGCTGTGCATGTTAGCTAGCCGTAATAACACATGTTTACCACCAGAGCATGACGGCACAAAAAGATCATTAACTGGTGATCATACAGACCTTTGTGCAAATATATTTTATTATCATGTCAACAGAGAAAAGAAAAAAGTGACAAGAAAAGAGTGAAGATGAGAGGGATGAAGAGAAGACATATTTGAAGTTTTGTGGGTTTGAAAGAGTCGTGCTGAGACACCAGAGGAAAGACTTTGCCTTTTGATGTTTTTCATGAAATATTTCACAAAACAGAGGGAATAAATATTAATAACGGACTCCCAAGGGCTGGGAAAGACATATGTCTGAAAGGAAATATGCAAGCACCAATTCCTGGCAAGCAACCTCATCAAACTGGCTGACCCGGGCTGGTGCCGCATTGATAGATGGTAAATTCTGCAGTGCTGTAATACGTTATTGATGAGCAACGTTGCACAAAAGTTAAGCTACAGCCAACTTCCTTTTTTTTTTTCTTTCTGGCTGACAGACCGGCGATTCCTGCCAAAGTGCCGCCTTGCCTCGGTTTGCTTTGCTCATGGAAAATCAGAGGTCTGACCTCCATAAAAACAGAACGTCAAGTTTCTTGTGTTGCCGAGGCTCCGAGAGCGAGAGCAAGACAAAGGAAGAGAGAGAGAGAGAGATAAACAAGGGAAACAAGGTCGAGGACGGGAGACGGTTACACACATGCCTCTCTGACGCCTTCGCCAACTGATGACTTTATCTGTAGACTTATGGAGGTGCTGATTCCTCTGACGGGTTTGTACCCTCTGGAGGGATCGGAAATTAACATATTTTATCAAGAGCTGTCTGGAACTTGAACTTACTCCATTCTGCCTGGGAACCAAAAACACCTTATTAAGTCATCTTGCTTTGTTTTTGGCTCCACTAGATTTCTGTCAGACCTGATGCTGGTCTAACTGGCAATTCCCACTGCATCCGGAACCACTACGAAAAGGCCGTATGCTCCGATCGTAGCTGATCGAAACTATTCAAGTCAATGTGTCGATTTCCACCGGATTCTTTCCGTTCCGCTGCGGATCGCCGGACTCCGCGGCTGATCGCAAGAGTTCTATTTTTTCTGGACGCCGGAACATGCCGGATGAATTCAGCTTTCAATTCGGCTTCTTTCAAAATAAAACATTTGCGTTTCAGGCGGATCATATTTCACACCATGCCAACATGCGGAGACGAACAAGTGAAAGGTTTATAGACGTCATTTCACCCCGTTGACATCATGGTTGAGGAGATGCTAATTCTAGAGGTCTAGAAGTAGATTTCCTCCTCTGAGAGGACACAATCTACTGCTTTTATGTTTAGCCTATGTGTTATCGCGCGATTGCACATGGGTTCTTGTGAGTTCTCACGATTCCTGCTGTCCGTAATCCGCCACGAAATTTGCCTCACAAACGGATCCGGTAGGAATTGGCGTACTGCGAAAATTGCCGCGTTGCAGGTCGGAGCAGTTCCAGATGCGGTGGAAATCCTGGGTAATATTTAAAATGTCTGAATCAGGCCAAAAGAAGAAGAACCTGGCTCCAAATCTGATTTGACTACGTTTACCAAGTTTCCCTTCCTGTTAGAACGCATTTCGAAAGGTATGCCAGACAAACTTTAGCATTGGAAATATGATGTTAGCAAGGATGCTAACTAAAGGTTGAGGAACAAAGGGGGCGTGTTGCACTGGCTCAGATGTAACAACTCTTCATTAAATTTCTTAATCTGTGGTATCGAAAAATTGCAGCTATCGTAAGAAATCCCCTTCTCCTTCACAACCTCAAGTCACGATAAAGCTGTCTTTTAAACAAAACAAGATATTAATATTGTGCTTAAAATAGTAGTAACAGTAGAAGCTGTTCTCTCTGGTTGCCACAAATTTATAAAAGAAGAAGCAGCTGCAGCAGGTAAGCTAGCGATAGCAGCCCTCTGTGCCGCGTAGGAGCTAACACCTTCTTTTTCTCTTCTTTAAGTTACAATCTACCAGAAGTAGATCATACACATAGAAATGTTTCTTATTTGGAAAACTAACTTTGGAGTTTTAACAATGGTTTCAAAAGCCAAATCATTTCAATTTTTGATGTACAACGATGTCAAAGTGTTCCTCGAAAAGTCGCGGCTAAGTACGCTAACATAACTTTGTTGTCTTATCGTTAGCTAACTTTGTATCATTTCCGCTCTGTTATAAACAAAGAAGCAATGAAAGTCGATGAAAAACGATTGAATGAAAGGAGAGTGGACAAAATTCATGAAATAAACTCGGACATACCTTTGTTGTCGGCTGCAGTCGTCTGGCTGCTGTTAGCAGAGTTGGTAGATGCGATCTGTAGAGGAGAAAGAACAAGAGTTGAAATGACCTGCACACTCACGAACTTCCTTCTTTATCCAGTTTTGTATTTTTCTGTACAAACACATAAACACAGACGAACATCTAGAATGTTGTATAATACGGTTTACGCATGAAAGAAGCCGTTAAGCGACTTCCTGGATGCTAAATTAAACTGTTTTGGGTCATGATTGTAAAGTTCAAGTGCCAGGTTGTATTAATAAATATGGCTGCTCCCACACTCACTGTAGATAAATTTGTACTCAGCGGAGCAGCGTCGTGCCAAAGAGCAGAGTCTGATTGAAATAAACACTGGCAGACTGGATCCAAGCTGAAAAACTGTACGGTGTCTTTTTGAAAGCGTTCAAAACACTGCGAGGGATTCAACACGACACGTCCCCTGTGCGGAGAGAGCTGAATCAGAGGGAACTGAGCGGCGTAAGCCAGGTTCTCTCCTACGTCTTGTCGTATGCCAAATTTTCCACGAGTTTACTGTCAGCAAAGAGAAACAGAACAAGGCAGGGGTGAACCACGGCTATCAGCTCAAGCTCCACCGGATGACAAGTGATCTAATTTTAGGATCTTTCATCTCTCCTCTCGTTTCGTTTTTTTTTTTCTGTCTCAATAAAATCCAGTTTTCTCTTCGGCCATCTGTCTCGTTTCCTCTTTGGGATCGCTCTGTTTTTCGCTCTTTTGGCGAGGTATCCCTCCAACCATTAGGCTCACCGTTTATCCCCACAGGGAGCTGGAGCGCATCCCAGCCAGCATTGGACAAGTCTCCCCGTCAAAAACAAGGACTGATAATCACAACCACGGGCAGTTTGGAGTAACAATTATTACAATTTTAAGTTTAAAGCTTTTGAAGAACCTGAGGAGAGTAAAAAATCGACACAGACAGGCCCCGATTGGCGGATAAACTGGGGTAGCCACGGAGAAACCACAGAACTGTCCTACTGGGGATGACAACAATCACCATGGCAACAACAGAGACGGTAATAACAGGACTTCAACTACAAGTGTAAGGGCCTGTGTCCACAAACAGCATTTTCTGCACTTGCGGCGCCCACAAGCTCAATTATACGGCACTTCTGGCTGGCTCTTCCTGTTGCTAGGTAACCAAAGTTGTCATGTCATAGCTGTGACTGCACACTGCATTTTAAAAACAGGCGCTAACGTAGCAAAAGAGGAGAAATTTTTATCTCCTAGATTTGACATGTACGTGACAAACACTAAACTGACATTTCCAGATTTTTTTTTTGTTATATTTTTGTAAATTTTTGAATTTATTAGATAGGAAAGATGAAGAAAGGCAGGAAATGAAGGGAGTAGAGAGAAGAAATGATCATAAATGTTCTTCCTTAAGCTGTGTCACCCCGCTGTGGTCTGTAATGGACTGGTCTGAGGTCTCGCTACAAACAAACGGCTGCTGGAAGAGAGTAGGTGAGTTGTGTTTAGTCTCTTTGTTAAAGAAATTAGTCAAAGCTAAAAAGATGTTTGGTGTCTAGTACTATGGCTGGGACCCTATATGTCCTGTTGATGAAGTTAGGTGCTGTTCTGAGCATTATTTGTGGCTATAGAGTGGCGTTTTGGTTGAGGTTTGTTTATGGCTCCTCAGACCGCTGTGTATTGCTATCGTGCAGTCGTTACTAAAGTTGGTAAAACTAGAGAAGCAACATTCATCTCTCGAGGGGGTGTCTAACTCGGTGTTACGATGTGTTTGACCCTAAATTAATTTTAAACACAAACTTTTAACTGCCTCAGCACTTTTACAAACCAGTTGCACCTGTCACATGGTCATGTGATGTCCAACCAATCAGATAGCGTTGTAGGCGGGACTTTAAAAAAGACAAAGTAGCGTTGGCACATCAGAAGCAGAGTCAAAGGGACACACTTTTTGATCGATTTATTAAATCGACTATCTGTAGAATAAAAGGCTAAAAGAGACGATCGGCCAAAATGCTAAATATCGGCCAAAGCCAATAATCAGTCTAATCAGTTATTTTTCTTTTCACTGACCTGAGTTGCCCTCTTTCATTTCTCAAACACTTCTTCTTCTTCACACTGGAGCAGAAAGCAACGACTAAATTAAAGCTAATGTGAAATAATAAAACTTTTTATCAGCTAAATTAAAGCAAAAGTTAAAACATAATAAACAGAAATCATTTTTTCTGTCTTTTTTTAACCCACAGTTTCATCCTTTACTTGAGGCGTTAATAGATGTGAACCGCAGATAACACCCTCCTCTAAGCTGCCCTCTTCCATTTTCTTTCTCACTTCACTTGTTTCCCTTGTTAAAAAAAGTTATTTTTAGTCAGACCTCCATTAGTTGTCTTCTCTTAACAGCTTCTCTGCGCTCTCTTGCTTGACTCTCTCTTTTTTTTTTTTAACCTCCTCTCTTCTGCCCTGAAAGCTTTCGTTGCCTTTCTGCCACCACGCTAATAGTGTAACTCTCACGGACATGTGAGTCAGTGATACAGGGGGGGTGAGTGAAGAAAAGTGACGGAGGGAGACGCGGACAGAGAGGGTGAGAGAGATTCAGACAGATTCTGCGATTATGCAATATCATGTCAGATGGAGGGAAAAAAAAGAAAAACCTCAATGCGCGTCCAAGTGTGTGTTTGCATGTGTCTATTCCTGCTTAACTCTGTCCTTATTGCACTTTATGATCCATGAAGCAAATGGCCCATGCATAACACAATCACAACCAGAGCGTGGTCGGGTTGTCGAGGAGAGGCTCGCCACTCTGGGCCTGCCAATAACTTAGCAAGTGTCTATGTGTGTGTGTGTCTAAGGCTGCGAGCATGCATGAGTGCATGCCTGTGCGGATGTGTTGGTCTGTGTGGGTGTTTTTACCGCGGTCATACAGTCTGTGAGCATGATGTGTGTGATTTATGTGTGAGTGTGCACACGTGCAAGAAGAAAAACCGTGGGGTCAACGGCCAATTTGGGGCCCACGCTCCAGCTAAGACACGGAAGGAGATGAATGCTCGGCGACTGTGAATGTATACAGTTTGAGTCTGGTCGGAGGAGGAAGAAGCAGGAGGTGTTTGGCTTAGAGGGGAGGTGATGGAAAACTCGAGGAGAAGAAATAAGACAGAGAAATAGAAAATAGAGGAAATAGCAGCAGATGAGACTGAGGGCTCTATTTTCGTGGCGGACCCCGCGCAGTGGTATTTTCGTCTGACGGAGCCTGGCGCATAGCCAGTTTGGTATTTTGGTAGACTGAGGCGCACCGAGGTCCACCAAGCTGGGCATGGTGGCACGGTAGAGGGAGGTGTCGACAGAATCAGCTGGTCCAAGTGCACTGAAAGCTTGCCGATTTAAACCTGGTCACCTTTCAGCGCAGGCGGATCCACAGTGTCAGGCGCATTTCAGTGCAATAAATAATCAACAACAACCAATATTCTGAGTCAGACACCAAATCCATCTGTGCTTATTTGAGAGACTGTGGAGGACGCCTCTGCAGCGCTTACAGTGACACTTGTTAAGGGGCTGCCTTCTGTCGCCATCGTGTGGCATTACTGTCTTTGGCCGTTTCTTGATCTCTTCGACTACTTAACGAAAATTGTAATATGCCTCGCCGGTGGCAGATTTACGGGTGAGGAGAGGAGCTGATATGATTGGCGAAAACAGGTCTCAGCTGTGTCAAACCCACTCCACGCCTTCTCTCCTCCCTCTCTACGACTTACGTTGCTGGGAGGAGCTGAGTAAGGGAGGAGGAATACTTACACTGGGCTGCACCGCTCACCAAAATATCAAAATGTGCTTGGACATGCCCTACAGGCGCGGCGGACCTGACTTACGCCGCACCTGCACCATGCCACCGGCGAGGCACGAAAATAGAGCCCTCTATGTGAAAGTGTAAATGTAAGATTTTCAAGCAGCTAAGAAAGTACCATATTTTTCGGGCCATAAGGCGCACCGGATTATAAGACGCACTATGAATTAATATGTTTATGTCCACACATGAGGCGTTCACACTCACTTATTGATTCATTCATCTTTCAAAAATCCATTGAATAAAATTCTTCATCTTGAGTGTCTGAGTCAAACAGCTGTACAATTTCAGCATCAAGCATGTCCAGATCCCTCTCGTCATTATCCGAGTCAGTTGTTGCTGTTACTGGTACTTGGCTTTTCAGTGATGATTCCAGCACAACAGTTACCGTAATGCTCTGAATAGCCATTGAATGGAGCGGTTTTGTTGCTTACTAAAGTCATACTTACACATTTCGACAGATTTTTGAGCACATTATACCAGATAAAATCGGTCAGTAAGCACAACAAGTAATCAAACATAAGGCCCACTGTCAATAAAGTGCCTTTTATAGTCCGAAAATTACGGTAAGCGCTGGTTTTGATCGTCTCTTTCGAACCAGGAGGGCTACTTCTGCTTAGTCATGTAATCCACACGAATCACTAATTAGCCTCAATCTAGCGAGTCATGATCTGGTTGATGTGCTTTATTTATAGCGATATCTCTTTCAGATGTGTTTGGCTTGTGGAAATAAAATCCGTCTCCTGCATAAATGTGATGCTCTCTCAAGGAAAAGTAGTGTCATCATCATCCTGGTGAGTCTTTCTCCACATGTCCTTGGTGAATTTCAGAGAGCTAGCGAGCTCTTAGCTAAGTCATACGAGTGTAAATGACTCACAGCTTGTGATAGTTGTTAGAATCTCCTCTTAAACTTTAAAGCACATTATATCATCATTTTTAAGCCTACATTAAGCTCTGAATCAGGACCTCCAGGATTTGGGAATGTAAAGCAGCTCTTCCTGTCCGACTGTGACGCTAATGCGTTAGCTTAAGCAGCTAAAGCGTGGGGATGTGAGCATCAGCATTTAGTGCCCCTCAGTCTGGAAATGAGTCAGAAATGACTCAACAAAACTTTCTGTCCTTGTTGCTAAATTACATATTTGTTTGAAGAACATGGAATTTCTCCGCAGAGTAAAAAAAGGTCCATGCTGTTTGAGGTATTAGTGTCGACCTAAATTTAGAGCTCACAAACAGGAGAGTATATATGCAACAAAATAAAACCAAGCTAACTGTTGAGAGAATGATTTGTTTACGTTAGCTGGTGCATCCTGACGTTTAGATATCATTGGCCTTGATGTACAGCAGGAAAATACCAGAGAAAAAAATCACATTTCTCAGGATATAAGACGTTTTTTCTCGTGAAATTCATTCGACAAAGTGGGATCGTCTCATATTGGAGGTCTGGGCCTGTACATTCACAACATTCACCTACTTTAACACCTGACATCACATTAAAAGGATATTCCCTTTAACTTCATCAACAGTACATATAGGGTCCCAGCCATAGCACTAGCCACCAAACATCTTTTTAACTTTACCTAATTTCTTGAGCAAAGAGACTGAACACAACTCACCTACTCTCTTCCAGCAGCCGCTTGTTTGTAACGAGACCTCAGGCCAGTCCATTACAGACTACAGCGGGGTGTCGCAGCTCAAGGAAGAACATTTATGATCATTTCTTCATGGAAATGCAATCAGACCGAGACGCTAAGACAGAAGAACTACCGCGTCTGCAGTGCAAAATGATTAATATGGTGATTATTACTTCAAGGAAATGATAAAGAAATTATCATTAATGTTCTTCCTTGAGCTGCGGCACCCCGCTGTAGTCTGTAATGGACTGGACTATACATGCAGTGCCGATCTATCGTTGTCTTCTCACTTTCCATAACTGGGACTGGCAAGAGCAGTGCGTTTAAATCTACTCGGCACCCTCGATGTCAACATCGGGTGTTGAATAAGGGACCATCAATAAATTACCTGTTGATGTTCTCAAAAAAAGGTGTTTTCCTACAATCCCTTCCATGTCATGAGACCAATTGACCAAAAATTGATTTCAAACAATAGTACTTACGTCGACCATTGTGTCCTTAGAGTTCTTTGTGTGCTCCTTACTTTTTCAAATTACGAGCACATGTGACTCCTTCTGAAAAAAGTTAGTGTCAAGCCCTGTAACTCTATGTTTTTAAAGTTAAAAATAGTTAAAACTGTGTAAAGTGAGTGTTCAAACTGATTCTGGCAGCTCTAAATATCCAAAATATGATTTATGGTTTCTTTAGCCTCGTATACAGACGTAAATCACTCAGCAAATATTTATGTCGTTCTGTTAAACATGGCCCCAAGTTGTGAAGAGGGAATTTAACTTATTGCACTTTTCATAACCACTCATAAACACTGATTTTTTTTCCAGATCAAGGAACAAGTCAAAGTTAGAAACACATTTCCAGCCAATGCGACTAAAAATAGTTAGGTATTCTTTCTTCCAGCTGAAATTTTTATGATCTTTCTCCGAAACGGATCATAAACCTGCCTGAGAAAGTTTTGGATAAAGCACCGGACCAAAATGAACACTGACGAAACTGTGGCTAAAATTAAAAACAGATTTTCTCTGACTAAATTTTGTCCAAAACAACACAAAAATGAAAATGTGAATAAAACCACCCACAGTTTCCTGAAAATGACTCAGACTGAGACGAAATTCAAATCCAATATCGGTGAATACGGGTTTAATCAGAGCATTTTTAACCTGCCTAAATCAGCCAAACTGATGCATTTGGATTTGTTTCATCAAACTAGAATTTTGGTCTGCAAACTACTCAGCCCTTTTCCGGAGAGAGCTACAAAGAACAAAAAAAAAAAGGTCTGTAATGCACCACTGCAGTCGTCGTGCTGTACCATCAAGGAAACAGTCTGCAATAGAGATAAGAAGCAGAGGTGCAACAGAAAGAGAGGCAGCAAGAACAAGGAGTGCACAAAAAAGAAAAAAAAAAAGAGAAGAGAGAGAACCGGAGAGACCCGGAGAGGTAGAAAGACTGCAGAGATATGAGTGAGTGTCTGCAGCACGAGGGTGAAACACTGCAGAGAGGAAGAGGGAGGCTGTACGCTCAGCATTAGTACACATCACACAGTAAGAAGTGCGGCAGCTTTCAGCGGAAGAGGCATTAAACTCGGCTTTTCGCTCGGGAAAGGATTCACTCTCGACAGTGAGTCTGGTAAGCCGGGGGAGAGAGAGGGAGATTGGACAGAATTTGGCCTTGACAAACATGCGGGTAAAGAAAGGAAAATCAGAGGTGAAGGTGTGGGGGAGAACGAGGAAGAAGAAAAAAAAGACATACACCAAAACAAGCGCGTGACAAATTGAATACGCCTCAATTTGGAGTACAAATTGTCCCTGAACTGTACAAGTGTGAATTTTTTTAATTTAATTGAAGTGATTGAGATATCTCTTTTGTGTCGTATTTTTTTGGCAGCAGATGACAAACAATTTCATCCGAAGAGAACCAGGAAATAAATTCAAATTGTTCTAACCTGATTATGTGGCTCGTAATGAAAGCTTGACATAATGCACCTATCAGGGCTGTCAGGAGACGTTTTCATCAGCGTCCGCTCTGCCTCTCCTCAAATGATCTCCTCGAGTTTTTCTTATTTCTGTCGGTGTGCGTCAGGGGCTTTGTTTTCCTTTAGGACAGTGGAAATATCTGCAACCGTGCAGGTAGTAACCGGCAAAAACACACCAGACACTAACGAGCGGTGATTAAAGCAGTGAGTAAGCATCTTTCTGAAGTGACTTGGGATTGGAGAAGTTAGACCAAAGAGAACTGAGAGTGAGGATATTAACGGCAAAACAAAGAGGTTGAAACATCCTGTGAACGGTCAGCTATTCCAGAAGAAAACGAGTATTTGAGTTCAGCAGTGTCCTCTTGAGATGGTCAAATAAATCTGTTTTTAAACACACAAACTAGGTATCAGTATGATATCAGCAAAAATTTGAAAATTGGATTATATCGGCCTGCGTCTAAAATCTCCGATATCATCACTCCGATACAGGCAGTCCATTCCAGACTCCGCTCCAGCACCTCTAGCTAGCAGCGCCCGGATCTAGCATGCAGAGCCCATGTGGTCACAACAACAGTGTGTACTAAGGTACAAACAAAGTACCAAGGAGTAGTAGCGATGTCGGCCCTGTGGATGTATTTTTCCTTACAGTCCGAAAAAGACATTACAGCTGAGTGCAAAACTTGTCATGCAGAAGTTTGTGCTGATATCGGATCAATGTTGGTATCAGCCGATACTGAAGGCTACAATAGTGGTATCGAATTGGAAGTAAAAAAGTTGTATCAGGACACCCCTAACACAAACTAAAGTTATACATGAAGTTGTTAAAAGTACTAAAGTATAACCTGAAACAACACTTTAGGATACCTAAAGAATTCAAAACAGGTGCAAAAAAAACTTTGAAATTAAGCTGAAAGTACCTCAAAACATAGATTAAGACATAGTTTAATACGGCTACTTCATCATAGGTAGAAGAGACTATGTAAATAAATGCTTACGGTTACTTTAAAGCAAACACAAGATGTTTAAAAGTACATTGATACAGACACTAAGGGCTACAATGAATAAATATAAAGACAATTAAGAAAAGGATGCTAATTATAACTCAAAATCACGATCTGCAACTTGTAATTGAGGTCGCAGGGTTTATTAATTGCGCGTCAAGACAGTGTTCCTTAATTGCACCATAAAACAAGGTTCTTAAATTGCATCTTAAAACAGGGTTCCTTAACTGCACCTTAAAACAGGGTTCCTTAATTGTGCATCAAAATAAAGTTTCTTTTAAAAAAGCAAAATACCTACCATAATCTTGTACTAAAAGGTACTTTCTGCAGTTGCTAATAGTTTCTACTAAATAGACACTGACAAGTACCTAAAACAGACGGTATGGGTAACTAAAAACAGATGAAAGCTCTTTTACAGTACCCAAGTGAACAGTAATGTAAAGGAGCACCTTTGAACAGATGCCAAAGTACTCTTAGAAACAGATACCTTCAAGCCAATGCTCAAGGGACCCTAACGCATGTATGATGAACCAAAAGAGGCCAAACCTAAATGTTCCAAACTTTTAAAAGTATTTTATCCTGCAAAAGAAATCCTTTTCATATGCTTCTTTGGAAAATTTACCTAATCAAAACTCCTCTTACATCTGCAAACAGCACCAAAAACACCAAACTAGGTCAGCTGGAAGTAAGGTGGCCTTTGAAACATTTTACATTTTGACCTTTAGTTGGAGCCTAATCGTGAGTTACCAGTAAATAGAGCTTCAAAAAGAGAGAGGTAAGGTTAAAACATTTGCCAGCATCACATCAAGTCAGTCGTGTTGGTTTTGAACCGGCGCAACAGCCCTCGCTGCCGATGGGCACGGTTGACATAAACAGCCGTGTCAGTGGGAAAATCAGTTGATATCAATGGAAATATCACTGAATTCAGCCATGATGGAGGAGACAGAGCTCAATCAGCTGTAATGTTTTTACGTGAGGGTCTGCTTAGCTTCAATGTACACGTGCTTGTGACCAATTAGATCCATTTTAGCGGTGGTGACACAGTAACAAGACATGCAGAATAAGAAGTAAAGCAAATTTGCTCTTTATTTCAATTTTTCTGCTGGTAAATCCAAATAAAAACTCACTTTTGATCAACCTTTTCAAAAACACCTCCTTTATTTTGATTTATCTGTAAACACATTTTGAAATCGACTCAATCCCACTCACTCCCTGCCAAACTGCGAAGAACCTTTTTGGAACTGTTGAATGTTACAACCTCCAATAGTTCCCTTTTCTTTCCAGCTGCATCCTACAATATTTAAAAACTGTCAAAAAAAAACAGACCTTGATCCATGAGTCTGTAGCAACTACTGACCAGTTTCAGAGCTGACTTTTTATTGCAAAAATACTCTAAAAGATCATCCTCAAAGCGAACAAACTAAAGGACATTTACAAAAAGTTCCAGTTGGGTTCTTGACAGGAACTGTGGGTACATAGACTGGTTTCTTCTCATACAGGGTTGATGAAGAGGCATAAAGGTAGAATGAATCTGGGCGATGGAAAACTCTTTAAATAAGCCAAAGATTGGTGTTTGGTCGAAACAGGAAGTAATTTTTTCCCTCAACCATCCACACTCCTATCTAACCCAAACTTCCTGTGCATGACATGGGTGAAGACCTCAACACATGTCTGCCATTATATTTCAACCCAGTTATAGCACCTCCTGGTTGCAGGCGGAAACATCATTTTTATAATCTGAATCTTGGCCTGATTACATTCCAGTACATCTTAAGGCCTTTTCTTTGACCCCCCAAAGAGCACAAAGGTCTATTCTAATGTCGCGTTCGAGTTACCTTGGAAGTCAGAAGTCTGAGCTGGGAATGACGTCACACCTGAGTTACCAGCGTTTCAGTTACCAAGTCTGAAAAAAGCAAAAGTTATTTTAGCACTTGCCTTGTCCTTGCTTGTATTCGGACTTATATTATGCTTATATTTTGCTTTTTTCCGACTTGGTAACTGAAATGCTGGTATTGCAACCATGGCATCGCCGCATTCACCATCAGACAGGAAGTAGTCTTCTTTAGGGTTTAAAACACTTATAAGTAGACAGGAGCCCAGTGGAGTTCCTTCAGCTCATCCCACCTAGAAATATCTTCGATGGGCTGATGCATCTTGGCTTGACCTAACAATGTGACATGGGCAGAGGCGCGAGGTCCCATTGAATGCTATGCTATCCTCTATCCAGCCACTCTACTACTTCCTCTATAAACTGTCATGGGAGTTTATAGTTTCCACTGTGGATGACAGCAACCTCCTCTACCCGCCCAAGGATGGAGTATTAGTACAAGGTTTGTACCTTGAGGGGGCTGGTTGGGACAAGTAGAACTCTTGTCTGGTGGAAGCAGAACCAATGCAGATGGTCTGTCCCATTCCGACAATCAACTTTGAAGAAGATGGCTAAGAGTATGTACCTTTGTCCGATGTCCTACTTCCCTGTTCAATCAGGCAGGGCAGGTAGAGCTTCTTTTGTTTTGGGTGTGGAAATCAAATCTGGAGTCGTGACCCCTGACCACTGGACAAAAATAGGAACTGCTCTTTTAATGAGTCTGGACACCTGGTTTAGCTATTTATTTTGATGATACTACTTGTGTGTCCTGTCGTATCTGTTGCTGCTGTTCTATTATTTCATGCAGCTCTTGTTTGAGGTTATTTTGTCCTTTTGTTGGTACGTCTTTGTTTCTGACACCCGTCTTGATAAGTGCTATATAAATAAACACGATCGTCTTTAGTTTGCCAGTGATCAAAGAAATTACAGCGATCTTCATCCCGATCTCCACTTCGATTATTGTCTCCCTGGCAGCTGCCCACACACTTGTCTTTCCAGTTAGCGCTCAATTCACGCCGTCTGTCTGTTCGATTCCCCTTCAAAACACGAACTGAATCTCCGAGGGTTCAAGAAAACCAGAATGTGACCGCGGGGAAGGTCGTCAGCTTGTGTCTCGGACCTTCTGGGATGAAACTAGCGTGCAAGAATCACTTCCCGCCTTTCGCCACCATTAGTTGCGAAGGGCACTTAACCCCCTTTTGCTCCAGTGAAGCTGCTCTGATCGACAGAAGATTAATGTTACTGTCCGGAGTCGTTTCCTGTGTATTAATGTCAGCCTCATTTAGCCCTCATTCAGCACTTTTGGAAGTTTCTGCTCTCAGTATTTGAAAATTAGCAGAAATTATGCAAAATCTTGAATCTTGACCCCCATAAAATAATCCTCATATCATCCATCCGTCCTTTTGTTCCATCTTTTCTTGTCCGTCCTGCCTCCGCCCTCGTAATCACAATTGACTGGCTGGCTTTAACCCCCCCTGGAGATATGTTCTTATCACCCCCTTCCCCTGCTTTTAGTCAGGGATTTCCCCTCTTTTACATGTAGTAGTTAGCGCCGTGATTCATGAGCAGCTACCCTCGGAGGGAAGGCTGAGAGAAAGAGAGGAAGGGAAGGAGAGGGATGCAGGGAGGGAGGGAGAGAGAGAGAGGGAGGGTGGGTATAAGGATGGGAGACAGAGACAGATTGCAGCATTTAACAGCCTGCCCTGGGGAGCCGCTGAAGGTGATAGAGAGGGAGAAAGACACATATGGAGGGAGAGGGAGGGAAGATAGAGAGAAAGAGACATGCATTTTAGCAAGAGGGTGTAAAAAAAACAAAAAAAAAAAAGAGCGTGGTGACTGGCTCAGTGAGAAAGATTAGAACATACACGGCCTATTCAGAAAAACACTCGGCTGGCATAAATGGAGCCCAGATGGACGCACACACAAACACACACGGGCTCGTACTGTACACACATATACACAAGTAAAAAAAACACATGCTGCCCCCTCCTCTTCACCCGACACTTTCTTCCTCTCGCACAATACGATGCACTTCATTTACAACAAGGTTTCCCTCAGGGGTGTACACCTCTCTGAGCTGTTTTCCCTCACGCTTCTGTCACATTTCACTATCCGCTCCTTTTTTTTTTTTTTTTTTTTCCAGCCTCCCCCCCCCCCCTCCGATATCAGAGCCGAGTTTTCATGGAGTAAACGTAATAAATATTTGATTAGTTATATAAGGTCCTCGAGAGCTGCCTGCAATCGTCAGGGATGATCAAAATCAAACGCTACCCACTGTTCCTGTTTGTTGTAGAGAATAAAAATAACCCTGGAGGAGTTCTCCTGTTTTGGAGGCGAGATGGGGTCACAAATTCGACCCCGGATCCCCCCTGGAAGATGAATCACGCCGGTTTCATCTCGTTTGATTTCTACAACAATTATTTTTATCGTTTCTAGATTGTATGACAGCTTTCCTGATCAACTCATTCATATACTAGATTATATACACAGCCTTCAAGTTGACGTTGGCTTGACCCACCAAAACCTAAACCGTTCTGGACTCTAAGGTGTTTAATATTAGCTAAAAGCAGGCGTGCTCTATTAAAAATATCTATTCAATTACTCTGGTAGCATTAAAAACAAATAATACTCTTGTAAAGATCGTCACATTCTCGAATGGGTAAATTATAGTATATCACATGGCAGAGAGTTAAGTCCTAGGGCAGCAGAAACAGCTAAAAGCAAATCCTAAGCTGACATTTATATGTGGGGCCCATGTGGGTCCAGACTCTGCTGAAATGTGGGTCCCAAGTGGGTTTGTGCGTGAGATTGCCTGCAGGTTCCATAATTGCACCAAACCAACTACTCATTAATTTCATGAAGGCTTCACCGGGGTGTTGAGTAGAGTCCAACCAGGCAAAATCATAACCTGTATATACTACAGACAACTTGGCTCCGCCTTTCGTCGTTATACAAATTTGAACCCGCAAACCAATCTTACAACAACGACATGTCAAGATTGTGACCAAGGAGGAGAAAAATGTATATTCCGTATAGTTAACTTCAATATTTAATAATAAAGAAATAAATACTACTTGCATTATTAAGAAACAACATGTATAAAATTATATAGCAAGTGTGATTGATAGTTATAGAGATAGATAATCAAATACATTCAAGTCATGATTAAAGTGCTCAGAATGACCTCACTTTTTCCAGTAGTTTCACAGTTGACATTCTAAACAATCGTCACACAGTTGGTAACAGCAATAAACTTCCATCTGAATGCAATTTAAGACGTTTTGATTTTCATTTGGAGAAACAGCATATTTGTTGCTACACAACTAATCTCTTACATTGGGATGAATGGGCTCGGCTAAGCTAACGCTAGCACCATAGACTGTATATACTGTGGACAACTTGGTTCCGCCTACCGCCAGTATACGGATTTGAAGCCAAAAAGCTCTCGGTAATTACGCAATTTTTCTCAGTTTCCTGAAACCAACATTGTGCAGTAGCGTTGTACACACTTCACCACTTATGCGCATTTGGAGGGAGAGTCGCCAGTCTTACAGTAACTACATGTCAACATCGGAACAAAGTGGGTGAAAAATTTATATTTTGTGCAATAAATTTCTAAACTCCCTAAGCTTTCCTGGAGGAGGCAGGATTTATGACCTATACTGTAGCCCGTCACCAGAGGGTGCTGTTCTCACAGTGGCTCCACCCAGCGAGAAGGCAGACGACATCAATTCTATATGAAATCTATGGCTAGCACGATAGCAATAACAAACTCATCCGTCCTCGGTTAATCGCCACACAACACGTTCTTCGCACCGTCAAAAACCGTTTACGATTAAACTCAAACCAACCTGTAACTTATCGCTTAAGTCGCTTCCCCACAGCGTCTACAAACTACACTCAGTTGGTCGCACCAACACACGTGACTGCATGACGTCACCCAAACACTCACCTATTACTGGTCAACGCGATACCACGAGATACAACAACATACTGCGAGATGCTGCAAGATACCGCGAGATTAGATGACATTTATCACGAGAAACTACTGACGTGTGGGCTTAAAGGCGGAACTGGCTGCTCAGGATTTACCTAGGTTACATAATTAATTTCTAAAGTTTGTTTACAACTCCATTAAGATTGCTGGAGGAGGCGGGGTTAACGACCTATACTGCAGACCGTCACCAGAGGGTGCTGTTCTCGCGGTTGCTGAGAGTTGTTTATCGATGCTAACCAACGAACTCCCAAGTATGTTTGTTTTTTCACTTTGAAGGTGCTTAATAACATTTTTATATTCTCTTGTCCCTAAAATTTTAACCTTAAATAAGTTGGTATTGCTAAAGCCGTGACAGCCTCATGTTCCGGCAAAGATCAGAATGCCCATTAGCGAATTACCAAGTGCTAAAGGTACATTTCCTCAAACAAAATTTCATGTACGGAAGCTCAACTGGTGTTGACTTCAAATGTCACCTTCAACTTCGCCTAATTGGGTCAAAATGCGAGCTGTAAACAGACACTGCCGGACTTGCTAAATGGTGATGACTCAAACGGCTCTCAGGGCTTGTTACGTGGACGGAAAATAGTCTGTATTATTGTCCCCCAAAATAAAAAAAGTAGGCCTAGTTACTCTTGACAGAAGCACACTGTGGAAGTTGACAGCATGTCCCCAAGCTGGCTCAGATGTCAGTCAAACGTCGACACAATAAGCAACCACCCAGAGGCTAGCGGCTTTGATGCAACAACATTTTTATCCTTAAATAGTTACGGTATTATTATACTTGACATCTCTGAGTACAGAGAGCTTGGATGGATTAGATTTCTCATATTTTCAGTCTATTTTCAGTACCTAGTTGATTAATGGGTCAAATATTAGCCTACTTTAGCCAATCATCATGATGATAACACGTAATTGTCCTAAATTGAAGATTAAAGGCAGGGTTCGGTGATTACCGTCCACTATCTTGGTTTGTATCATTTGAAAAGGGTGGCTTTTACCGTTGTTGTTTTTTCACAAAGAAAAAGAGAGAAAGCTTTTGCTCGGTACATCTTTTGCCAAAGTATCCATCTCTTGAATCCCTGCCTCTATTCTCCACTTCTCTTACATAACATATGCCATTCAGGGGGTGTTTTCATCCACCTAATAGTTTCCACGAGTGCTTTCATTTTTAGCCTGGGTCGACTCATGCTCTCCTCTCTTTTTCCTCTCCTCTTCTGTCCTCTTCTGCACTCTACCCTTCAATTTTCACACCCACCCAGCAGTTGTTTTCATCTCATCTATCCCCCATCGCTCTCCTCCTCTGCGACCTCGTCTCTCAGCCTTTCCCTCGGGACGCTCGGCGAAAGGTCTGCGTTCGACCAGGCCGCCAGATGTGCGTCGGTGCTGAGTGTGCGCTACTGTATGAGGTGAACATCTGGTCTAAGCGACTCTTGCTGTACATTTAAGTGGACCAAGCTGTTCAGCTGTGTACGGTCCTGTCCATGTAAACTGCTGACTATAAAGCTTTAATAGAGATTCAGTCGGACTCGATTTAATGATAGCTTGTGAAACAGCTGAACACATAACTGGCTAAACCCACAGGATCCGGAATGGCTCCGCTCCGCTCCGGACCGGCAGGCCGATCAGATCCGCAAGCATACAGCGCCCACTGGACCCGATTAGCTGCCGCCATCGGAGGAGAAGTGCTCGTGAGATTACCGATATATCCCGCAAGACTGGACGAGATCTCACGAGGTCTTGCGTGGAGTCATAGACTGAGATCCGCTGATCGGAATATATAAACGGCGATGTATATCAACACCCACATCCCACAACCCTGGCCTCTTCTATCATCAAGTTAGGAACAGTTCAATGTATTGACTTTATTTTATTTTGAAAATTAACCAGATATTTTACTCTGTAGCTGCATACAACTTCCGCTGCTGCTTGTGCTCCGGCAACCGGCAAAAATAGAAGCCTTGCGTATCTGATCCAGCCACCGGAGCCGATCTGCAGTGGAGCCAGTTACCGGACAGATTCTGTGGAATGACACATATTGATTATAATGCTTGCGGATTTGATCCACCGGCCGTGCCGGAGCGGAGCCATTCCGGATCCTGTGGGGTTTGCCTGTGAGATGGTACACAAGTGATAGTAGAAATCGGTGAGATGAAAACTGAATGGTGACATTTCGCTGTCTATGATACCTGGGTGGCCGCCAAAGTACATATATGGTAACTATTTTCGATTTATCCATATATGAATGCCGTCAGCTGTCGATAAACAGCTAAAGACACACTAATGTTATCCTAATGACGAGTTAGCGGAAGTACCTTTTATGTCGCTTCAATATAAAAGCAGATTTGTGTTCGGTACAGGAAATTGAGTAAATGGGGCCAAAGTTAGTGAAAATGCCGAACTCAAATGTTACTTGTACTTGTGTGATGACAATGCAGAATAAGTTAAAAGGATATTCTGGCGTAAAGATAGCAATACAGAGAGAGGAAGAACATTTACGATCATTAATTTATCATTCCCTTGAAGCAATAATCACCATATTAATCATTTTGCACTGCAGACGCGGTAGTTCTTCTAGCGTCTCAGTCTGATCGCATTTCCATGAGGAAATGATCATAAATGTTCTTCCTTGAGCTGTGAAACTCCGCTGCAGTCGATGGACTCTGTACAAACAAGCGGCTGCTGGAAGAGGAAGGGTGTGTTGTGTTTAGTCTCTTTGCTAAAGAAATCAGGCAAAATTAAAAAGATGTTTGGTGGCTAGTACTATGGCTAGGACCCTACACACTGTTGATGAAGTTAGGTGCTGTTCTGAGCATTATTCGTGGCTATAGAGTGGCTTTTTGGTTGAGGTTTGTTTGTGGCTCCTTAGACGTCTGAGTATTGCTATCGTGTGGTCGTTACTAAAGTTGGTATAACTAGAGAAGCAAGCGGTCGGCAACATTTATCTCTCGACGGGGTGTCTAACTCAGTGTTGCGGTGTGTTTGACCCTAACTTAATTTTACGCCGCAGTATCCCTTTAAATTAGCTGTATCAATTTCAGGAAGTCTTTTATCTCGAACCCTCTGCTATACTAGAGCCAAAAGGTCGGTCCATTACAAGCAGCCTATCACTCACAGATTGGTTCCCAAATGGCGTTGACCATTTGCTACCTAATACATCATTATTTACAAGAACAGTTCACTAGGAGATACTAGTGCGAGTATCGAGACAACTTCATTAATTTATTGTTGTACTGAATGCGATGTTGTGTATAAAGCCTGCTGACCTGGAGCTTATGTGCTTAACCCATGTCCAGCGGTGCTTTAGGTCACCTTACATACACATAATCTGCCCCTTCAATCGAAGTACAAAGTGATCAGACCAGCATCATTGGAAGCTTACAAGGACTTACAATCATGTAAGTAGTAAATCCCCCAAACAATGATGTAAAACAAGAGCTATCTTTAGGGGCGGTTAGCCATCCCGTACACCTACCGATGTGCTTCCTTTGACTTTTTGACCGCGATTATTTTTGCAAGTGGAGCCCATTTTCTCCAACTGTGAAATCCCGCCGCTCAGCCTCCGTTCTTGAAGCTATAACCATCTCTTCATACTGAAACACCCTGTACCTGCTCTCTAAAAATAGCACAATGCCAGTTAATGGCTTTATATAAGTGAGTGGGTGTGGGTCTATGTGGTGTGAGAAAGAGAGATTCAGAAATAGTGATGATTCCTGGGGGGTATGAGGGGTGAACAGCTGGTGCCATGGGGAAGGTTTTTCTATAGAATAAGAGACAATGAAAGAGTGCTTTAGAATCTATAGAATCTGCGGGAAAGGATTATATTTCCTGTATGAACAGATTCCAACTCTCACAGATTGACTTATGATGTGAATGTTGGTATAATGCTGGATCTGAACAGTGAAAGCACCATTTTTCATTTAGCTATAGCAACGAATTTGACTTATTTTTACAGATATTTCCTCTTTAACCGATACACTTTAAGGACAGGGCCAGACCACTATTACTCACAGATCATTACATTCTCATGGACTGGTCGCCAAAAGGGTATTGAAGGGTATTTTCGAAGATAAATACTCACATTCACAAACTAATACAAAAGTAGGTGTGAAACAAAGAACATTTGGCCCCGGAACATGAATACTTTTTCGTCTCCGGTCTACTTAACAGTGACTCAAACTTTTGGTCAAATTTTTGTTGCTCGGTCAATAGTTATTTTGATGCACTGGCGCTATGACTCAAGCTGGCTGTCATTAGGCAAAGCAGAAATTCTGTGCTGACGGGACTCACGGTAAAATGATACAAACAAGCATGTTAGCATACAAAGTAATATCTGGAATCTGATCAGTCCTAAAGCTGCGTGTTTGGTTATAAACTTAAAGCTGCTACAAGGAACTTTTGGTTTGTGTTGATTTTGGCGCCCCTTGTGGCCAAATTACACATTTTTCCTAGATAATCTTGTCCTGTACATACAAAGGCTGTATTTTTAGGTAAATAAATCTCAATCTGCTTACTTTTAAAAGTCAAGAGAGTCACTCACTGTGAGCTCTTGCTTTTAAAGCGTTTATTCACAGTACTGTCAACTGTCGCAGGCTTTAGAAATCACAACATTTAGTATTTTCTACTGTGTTTCTAATCGTCTCATTTGCTTTTGCAGATCTTAAAGACCCATTACAACCTGTTTTTTTTAATCTATTTCACCACCAGTTAAAAACTCAACAAAGTGGCTTTAAAATTAGGTTAAAATTTATGATTTGACCTGAAGGTGGGGCTAAGAATCCTGAACAGAAAGAGTTGGTGCCAATCCATGCAGTCGGTGTTCACATATGGAAAATACACGGCTAAATGAAAACTTCGTCACGTTGGTGCATGATAGAAATTAAGAGAAGCATTAAAGTCAAGAGGGTTCATCCTCTGGGGACCTTGAATGTCCATACAAATGCTGATTTAAACTGGCTCAGAGGTTATTTTACCATTTAAAACTGGGCTCAAGTGATTATTTTCAGAGCAGCATGACTTAAAAGCTTCCCTCTGGTTAATCCACCGACTGTTTCGTAAAAAAGCAACGAATTGTCGGTCTATAAAAAGTACAAAAACGGGGAAAAAACATCTCACAAGGTACAAAAGCCAAATGAAACTGAACAAAATCAACCAAAACTTCATTCTCTATTATTCATCTGTAAAAAAGGGTTGTAATTTATTATATTAAAGGCAAATTTTTGGTGTTTTTGATCAAAAAATGACCAACGCTGACATTAGACATAATTGGGTCTAATAATCGGGAAAAAGATCGTGTTTTAAGAGAATAGAAGGAGGTCGCTACTTCTCTTGTATTTTAAATAACACTACACTCCAGGATTAGTGCTGCTGCTAAGAAGAGAATATTCAGCGGCTGCTTTGACATCTTCAAAGTAAGTTGCAATTGATATTCAAAGCACGTGTCCCCGTCATCAAACATTCACTTATTCACATTTCAGTGTTTGATATCGGATAAACACTCACAGCCTCACGCCTGTGGGGAGCGGAAGCAGGTGATTGGGTGAGAGACCAAAGGCGGGGGCAAGCGTGGTAATGATGAGATCGAGAAAAACAGCAGCTAATAAGCGGGAGCAACAACGCAGGGGAGCAGCGAGCAACACATATTTACAGTTCCTTTAATAGAAAACCACCTCCTTCACCGGTCCCTTTTCTTAGCTTGTGCTTGTCTGCGCTCAACTTTTTTTGACAAACACTCGTACAGTACATTTCTTAAGCCACGCACACAGAGCTTAGCGCTGTCAGAGAGATGGGGGGAAGGAAACAGAAGCAGAAAGCTACTAAAAGCTCAGCAGAAATGTATTTATAGACAGAAATAAAAGGATTATACCTCCATGAAGGAGTACGGGGAAAGCCAGTGATTTCCAGACATGCTGGATGCTGGGGGTTGGAAGGAGGAGGAGGAGGGTGGGGGGAGGAGGAAGAAAGTGGGAAGGACTGACAGATGGAGGGAGTCAGATTGACGAAGAGAAACAAGGATTGGCGCTTTCTCGGTTTTACTTCGCTGGCTCCGGATTGGCCTCGGAGCCACATCAGACCTGGGTAATTATCCCCTGCCAGCTTGTGAGGGAAGCGGGTGGCTTTTTGTGAGGGGTAAGCCTGCTAAGTGATAATTACCAGCATAATGAGAAAACTACCTTTCTCTTACTTCCTTTCTCTGCGTGTGTGTGTGTGTGCGTTCACGCTCTGTTGTAAATGAAGGCACTTTTGGATTACCGGCCTTATTTTGAAAGTATTAAAAAAATGTTGTTTTGCTTCCTGTTTTTGAGCGTGTGCAGGGATAAGAGAAAAATCCACCAAACAGCTGTCAAAAGTGGAACCACTGCCAAACATGAATTACATAACGGCCCGGTTTAATTCCCCGCATATTCCATTCATATTCCTACAAATTAAAAGTCCTCCTCTTTTACCCTCCCCCTCTTTTTTTAATTTTTTTTTTTTTTTTTGACTTCTTCTACGCCTCATGCTGTGCAGATGTTAGCTCCCGGATGTGCGCATGCAAGTGTTAATACCCTCTCCCTCTCTTGCTGTTGCTAAGGAGAATACAGTCGAAGCCTTTAGAGAGAAAGAGAGAGAGGAAAAAAAAGCAAACAGAGAGAGAGAGGGAGAGTGAGCGATGTAGTGATGTGTGTGTGTGTAGGGGGGGTGAATAGAAGCTCGTGAAAAGAAAGAGGAGGAAATGAGGCAGTGGGTGACAAGATTTCAGCTGGAGGAGACAGTCTGTCAAAGCAGGGGGGGGGGAAGGTGCAGTGCGATCGCTCATCGCCGTGACTCCAGAGTGAGTGTTTGTAGCTGGCAGAGGCGCTGCGTTCGCCATGCAGTTGTGACACACGCGCGCTCATCTTTCACTGCAAATTAAAAGAAGAGGAAGTGCTTATCAAGATCATCTACTGTGGGTGGTGGTGTGGTGATATATCCGCAATTATATGTTTCTATTGACTGTCAAACACTGAACAGAAGAGCCGCAGAGGCAGTCAGTTTGATTGTTTCTGATTCGGAGATACAGACTATTGACTCGAGAGGCGAGACGAAGAATCTATATGACGGTATGTTGTGGTCCTGATCTCAAGAGTAAGACCAAAACCTCAGTACAGGAGTAAATATAAAGTGACTCATCCAGGTGGAAGGAAAAACGGTCGATAATTGAAGGTTCTGGCAAATTGAGATCAGTAAAGCTCCTGTCAGGAACTTTTAGTTTGTGTCAACTTTGGCGCCCCCTGTGGACAAAACACTCTTTTCTCATCTTATCCTTTAAAGTCCCACTCTGAAAGTTTTTTTTTTACTACTTAACGGTAGGGTAGGCAATGTAAACTCTACCCCTCCCAACCGGTTTTCCCCTCAGCTCCTCCTCTCCCCTCAAGCCCCGCCCACAAACAGACGCTCCTGCTCGCTCGTATCGTTCCAATTAAATTCAGATATAATGCAGATAAATGCTTTAGATAATTACAGATGGGGCCCAGTCTTCTGTAGATGCCAACAGACGACCAGCAAACACAATGTTTGCAGGACTTCTACAACGAGGATAAAGTGACATAGTCCAGGACCCGAGGGAGGACAGTTTAGCGGCGCTACAACACGCTACAGCAGGTCCGTTTGACAAGAAACACTTCTGTTACAGACACTACAGGGTCCAAAAGATCCCGAAGCGTCCCCCATCATTTATGCTAGCTTAAATCGGCTTTTTAGCTCTTGTCCCGGTCTACCGCCATTTTTAAGCGCCCGTTATTCCGCCAGAGTCTCCGGTATTTACTTTGTTTTCTTGCTCGTGTTGGCAGTCGTGGCCAAAGGAGGATTCAGACAATTTTCCGAACTTTCTGGTTGGTTTCTACTGTGTGATATTGTTGCACGCTAACTTTGTTTGAGTTTGTGAACGACACGGGGGAGCAGCGTCTGCCTCACAACCAATCAGGATGGGGGAGGCGGGGAACGGCTTTGTTTACAGTCAGAAAGAGCGGGCTGCTCAAAAAATTGAAAACGTTGACCACACAGGCGTAAGAGAACACAGCGATATCGTTATATTACCAAATGTCATCAATAACTAACAGCTATTGACTGATATTAAAAGCTTTTTTGTATATGCACCACAAAAACAGATGCTTCTTTAACGGACTCCTGCCTACCCCACCTTTAAAGTGCTCTCAGTCTGTCTTTAAATTGTGATTATGAAGTTTTTGGCCAAAATCGTGTTACCCGTGTCATTTTCATGGGCTTTTCTTCAGCAGAGCTCCAGTAGCTCATTAGCAATTCGCCTCTGAGTCGTGGGCAGTGACAGCGCCGCTCTGCACACTCGTCTTCACGTTAGCTTGCAGCCTAACATTGCCGGTGTTGTAGAAGTGGCAAGTAACATAGAAGCTCGTGGACACTAATGTCTTTAGGGACACGATAAAAGCTGATATCATAATTAGCTCTTTTACGAGAATTGCAGTCTGCTAGCACACACGCTTGTTCGGCAATCGTCCTCTCTATTTCTCATAGTCTGGCCTGCATAGCGGGGCTCGGGGGGCGGAGCTTGGATTGGTTACGTATGAACTCTCACTGTTTCTGAACTTGCCGTTTGGGTCTGCCAGAGATTCACAGCCATTTTAATGAAAAAATACTCAGAAAAGCAATTTCGCATTTAGTTTTCTCATGATACGTCCTGTACCATCAGAAAAATGCCATATGAACGTATAAAAAACAAGAAAAACATGATTTTCATCGGAGAGGGTCGTTAAATGTTTCAGTGGTGCCTTTAAACAGAAGTCAAACTCATCCGTCTGACCTCTGACAGTCAAAGGTATCATGTGCAATGAATATTTAAGTGGCAATTATACAAACAGGGTTGGCTGCCCTCTTGGTCGCCAGGTTTCAAACGTTAACAATGACGACATTCAAACTGTCAGTCATGTCCCTAATTGTGTTGTATTCAGCATAACCGTAGAAAATAATAAAATATATATAAAACGGAACTTGAAAAATGGTTGTGCATTGTCTGAATCACTTCCTGATCACTCTCCACAGCGAACATTTGTGTCTCTGTTGTGTACTCTGTGTTCATTTTTATAGATTTGTGCGTTCGTATGATCTAATGTTGGATTAAATTGGGTTTAGACTCGAAACGACAGTAAGAAATGCTTTTTACACTCCACTTAATGCCCTATCCATTGGGATGAACGGCGGTCTAATGCACGAGGTCAGGGGTTCAGCTTGTATCCTTCCAAATGGCGTGCGCTAGGAGTAGGATGGCACGGATGGTCGCAAGGGATTACAGGCTGGTTAAAATGACCACAGTGCACTCGAGTCTCCCATTTCAGCAGCTATACTGCAGAGAGCTGCATTCAGATGGTATTAAATATTTAACATGAAGGGCCAAACATAGACGAAAAGGACTTCACGGCTCTTGCTTCACATACATTATAGAGGTTAGTCTTTAAAAGGACCAGCGTTTAAAGATGGATACATATATATATATATATAGGCTGGAGGTTTAGAGAATGTAAAGTCTGATCTGTTTTTTCCACCATAAGCAACAAAGTGATGTTACATCGACATATTTAGATGTATACACATTAAAATCAACATTAAACTTGATTTCTTTGACCCTTTGCCTGCAACAAACTACAATTAAGCTTAATTTCACACAAACCAGCAACAGAATACAACTGGTACAAATTTTTTTGTCATTTTCAATCAAATTTGTGGCCATAAAATAGCCTAGTTTTTCAAAAACTCACACTAAGTCTGATGTTATTGGAGTTAAATTAACCTCAAACTGAAACTGAATCAACTTTTTGGCTGTAAAATAAGTAACGAACTGTAGTAAAGCTCCTGTCAGGAGTTTTTAGATTTTTATAAAACACACTGAAGCCTTTTTAAGTTGTACAAAAGTGACAAAATGGACTATTTTAATGCTGTTATTTTTAGTGCCTAAAACAGGTGTGAGGGTGTAGGTGTCAACAGAGCAGCTGATGATACAGCCTTGTTTTTACATCTTCAGGTTAAATATTAGCAAAAATTGTCCACAGGGGGCGCCAAAAACTGGACCTTTACGCAGAGAAACTAGCTTTGTCTTACATTTTGCCGTTAATAATCGAAAAATTTATCTTTAACTTGTTTTTGTTCTCTTAAAGCAAAAAAATTGGATGGTGTCGCTGACGATACAGCCTAGTTTTTACATTTTCATGTTAAGTATTCGCAAAAATTTTCCACAGGGGGCGCCAAAAACTGGACCTTTAAGCTGAAAAACTACCTTTGTTACAACCTTTTGCTGTCAAGAAGCAAAAAAATTAATCTTAAATGTTTTTTTTTTTTTTTTCAAAGCTAAAGATTTGCATCGTGTTGCTTGATTTTGCTGTAAACAGACAACAAATTAACATTATGTCTGATTTATATTGTGTTAATGGTGACTATGTCTGAGCCTGGCGTTTTTCACAAACCAACCAACTGAAGGCCTACTTTTGGGTCATGTTTTAGGTTTAAGATTATGATCTAGCCATTCAAATTTGACCAACTACCTCACTTTTTGGTCCTAAAATGTCCAAGTTTAATAAAAAATGCCTCTAAAGTGAACTTTAAGTCTTTCATGATTGTATTATTTCATCTTAACTCCCAAAAACCACCTTAACTGGCCTGTATGTTTTGATCAACTCATTGTTTTATTTTAAATCTATGAAATTATTCACTTTAACTGAAATTGATGCCAATATACGATCACAACTTTCTCCTTTAACTTGATTTTATAGTTTCAAGTTTCAATTCGTATCAGAGACTTAAACGCAAACTGAGACCAATTTGCTGCTGCTTCGGATTTCAGCTAAGGCTGGAGTCCGCCACCAAAAGCAGTGATTTCTTGTTTTCACAGAACTGCAGAGCATTTGTTCTCCCATCATTCACTCTGTGTTTACACTTCCACTCTCCCATGTGCAGCAGTGGCATCATCTGCTACGTATCACAAGACTCTGACACTTCCCATCTGCCCAGGGCCGAGGAGCGAACAGCCTAGACTGGAGGAGCTCAGCGCACACACCGAGCGAACGGTCCCAGCGGAGCAATGCTCTACTTCTGTGAAAGAGAAGTGAAAATAATCACTCCTCGGGGACCTCCGTGACGGTATTCTTATCGATGTGAGATTGATCGATTGGGCTGCAATCGCTGCTCCTCCTGGCGGGATACAGCGCTCTACTGAAACACTTACGTAACATGATTACTGTATTCTTTTATCTACTGCTCCTCTAATGTAAAGACAACTCACATACATGATTACCACACAAGTAGGTCTGCATTATCCCGGAGTTTATTGTAAAGCTGATTGAGGGTCAACAGGCAGGTTAAACCCACAGGATTACGACCCAGGAGTGATAAAGCTCAGACAGAGAGCTTAGGCAGACACTGATCTACATTAGACCTGCGAGGCAGATTAGATTCAGATTTGTAGGTTAGCGGAATATCATCTCAAAAAGTCCAACTATCTGTACATGTAAATTAATAACACCAGTGTCCACTTAGGTGTCCATAAATACCGGTACTCTTACTCGTACATGACCATAGTGCTCGTCTTCCCCATTAGTGCTGACGCCCGCAGCGGCAAGCCTTTTGAAAAAGCTACTTTATTATGCAAGTGCGAAAAAAATATGCACATGCAGCCCGTTTCAAGAGGATCCGTGCGGTTCTTCCCTACGCACTACAGTACTTTATATACTGCATGATTAATGTGGAGTAACCTTTCTTCCTACTGCAGGGAAAACTGACATCACGGCGTGAACTCAGAGCTTCATGTTTCTGCCTTACGCAAGAGGACCACAAGATGAATCATCTTTGTGCCATCAAGGTGGGTTAGGAGGGAGAAAACACGACATAGTTGAGTATCGAGGACCCTTTGCGCCGCCTACAAGGCCCCCCGTAAGGTCCCCGAACCTCACTTTGGGGAAATCCTCCTGCTCCACCACTCCACCAGATGTTCACACCGCCTTCTGGCGATGTGAGCTGGTGTCACTGCTGCTGCTGCTGCTCTCATTGCGGGGTTTCTGTGAGACTTGGGAGCATAGCCAAAAAGAGCACTGCGCTATAACATTTTGTTCAGAATTTTAACTGCACCTTGGCTGCGGTTTTTAGGAACCGCTGGGTCCGATTCCCCGCGAGATATGACACGGTTAATCCCACACAGGTGCATTGAAATGTGTCTCTCTATAGCGAGAAGGAGCGTTAAATGAGTTACACTGCGCCGGTTAAAATGCGCCGAATGTTTAAAGAAACTGCTTCGAACGCGCGCGCGCTCACTCACCTCGCTCATCTTGAAAACGCGCGCGGATGGGGGGAGTTCTGCAGCAGAAGAAGAAGAAGAAGAAGTGGACTTCACAGTCTTTTCTCCTCGTGCCCCTTGACTGTCAGAGAGTCGACGCCAAGAAGACGTAGAAGAAGACGAAGAAGAAAAAGGCGAAGAAGTGTTGTCTGGCGCAGTGTCGGTTTGGCGGGCTCAGACGTTGGTGGAGGAAACAGACCGGGTGCAGGTGTCGATGCTCCGGGGCTGACGAAGTGAAGTGATGCTCGGTTCTCCTCCGGTGGAGATGATGGAAGGAAGCTTCAGTGCATGTAACGGCGCGGTTTATGGCAACAGGAACTCTCTCTCTCTCTCTCTCTCTCTCTCTCTCTCTCTCTCTCTCTCACACTCTCTCTCTCTCTCTCTCTCTCTCTCTGTCTCGCCCACTCAGTCTCAACCAGTCACCAGGGAGCAGACTACTGCCCTGGTACAGAGATGTAGGCTAATAGGAACATAATAAGAAAGCTAACCCTGGAGCGTTTAACTCTGCCTGTCGTGGACTGCTGTTAATTGATGTTCCGACTGTATTTTAATTTATTTCTTCTCTAAATGTCCTGAGTGGACTTTCTAGACTTATTTTAGCCCACTAACTAATGAATTATTTCAGCTAGTCCGCCCTCATAGCTTTATTTTGTTGCTATTGCTAACCCCAGTGCAACAGGGCTGGTGTTCCCCCCCCCCATTAATTTTCCATATACCGGTTCTGTTAAGTCAAATAGAATAAAGACAGCACTTCCTTTCATTACTTTCAAAATAAATCACTTTACAAACGCAAATAACATGAATTTAGGTTATTTTTAGGATACAATGTCCCATGAAGGGGTAAAAAGAGGCTAGTTTTTTTTCATTCGTCATTTATGTGAGTTTTCCTGATAAATTTACTTATTTACAGAAGTAAAAATCAGATTTTGGTGCATTTTATTGAGTTGTATGTTATTCTCAAAGTCGTGTAATTATCCCATAGACCTACAGACTGTATATACTATGGACAATTTGGTTCCGCCTTCCGCCAGTATATGGATTTGAAGCCGAAAAGCTCTCGGTAGTCTGCATTTTCTCTCCATTTCCTGAAACCAACATTGCGCAGTAGCGTTGTACGCATTCCACCACTTGCGCAGTAGCATTGTACGCTTTCAGTGCGAGAGTCGCTGTGAGGACGCTCACCTAATTCCAGCATATTTTATGTTGTGTTTTATCCTTTAGTATGATATTATCATATTAATACCTTCATTTGTTGTGTTCTAGCTTTCTGGAATACTGACTTTTGACATTTTAATCAGTGTTACGTCAAAATAAGGTCAAGAGAAGATCGTCGCAGTGTCGCTGTATTTTATATATTTCTTTTCTAAATGTCCTGAGTGGACTTTCTAGACCTATTTAGTCCACAAACTGATGAATTATTTCAGGAATTACAAGGTAATCTGCCCTCATAACTTTTTTTTGTTGCTATTGCTCACCCCAGTGCAACAGGGCTGGTGTTTCCCCCCCCCCATTAAGTTTCCATATACCGGTTCTGTTAAGTCAAACACAGTAATGGGCGTCCCCATGTGGATAAACATATATTCACGATTTTGTCTTGAATTGTCAAACATTTCACTTATAGCGTAAAAATGCAATGTAAAAAAGTCTGTCAACCGCCTGTTTTGACACCTTCCTCTCCCAAAAGTTTCAGTCATCAAAAAATATAATATAGAAATCTTGATTTAAGTATGATCTGGTTTGATTTTGTAGCTCATGAAGAGGCATCACTCCTGATTTTAGTCTGTTTTTAGAACTACATAAAAACTCCTCGCAGGAGCTTGGAAGTGTGTGAAAAGTACAGTAATTCTCCACATTTTGCCTACATCATTTATTAATTAAACATTTACTTTAAAGAATATGTCTTCTGTCTACCACACCACATCAAACAGATTGGATGTCTAAGCTGCGAAAATATCAAATCTTGCCAAGTGAATCTGTTTCAGTTGTTGTGAAAACATCTCATTAGACTACGCTCACAGGACAAGTCCTAATATAAATGTTCTTTAAAAGCACCTTGATATAAGCATTATGACTTGTTTCATTAAACTTGGCAGGAAGCTCTTCTTACTCATTAAGACTTTGCTTGTACAAGCTTTGGCACTTTTATTTTAATTAATTTGATTATGTCTTATCAGTGTCACTTGTGGTTCTTATCCAGAGTAGGACTTCCACCTTATATCCACTGGAGGGCGCCCCTGCATCAAATTTAATGACATACATTTATCACCATGCTCCTGGCTGGAGATCTCCAGGCTGCTGGAAATGCTCTCCAGGTACACGTAATCAGGAAAGAATTAATTAGTTGATGCCTGAGGACACTCATATGACTGCAGTGGTCTTTACAGCAGACAGCTTTGCAGCTTTCTAACCAATGAGGTGGGCCATATGAAAAACCAAAGACCATGGTCTGAGGTGTCCTGAGGTCCCTGATCTTAATGTCCCATACGGATATTAAATAAATGTCCACATATCAGGAGTGATGTTGCAATGCTCTACATACATTCCTAGGATGTATGAGGATGCAGGTTAAGAACATATATGAAACACGCATGTAAAATTTGTATATTAACATATATTAAAAAATAACCACTATAGGGCATCAAATGTTTTTTTTTTTAACCAAATAACACAATACTATAAATACAAGTATGCAAAAAATAAAAAAGATTTATGTTGAATTTCCTTAATGAGTTAAATATGTCAAAGATACATATTTGATTTATAAAAAGTATTGTATGTTTTAATAATATGTTATGTTTATTTTATCTTGTTTTCTTCATCACACATGAAATTGTTCAAATTTGATATAAAGTTTATCCATACATGCACATTTATGCTTCGACCTAATATTTGTTTCACATATTGGAATGCCATATATATTCTTATCACATTTCCATATGGGGTTTATGTCTCAAATTTCCGCTGATGAGACAAAAATTTCCACAGAAAATTCCTTTCAGAGACACTCAGTCCTGATACAGGGTTCCCAAATGTCTTGTTAAACCTGGAAACAGTTTTCCAGTCATGGGAAACACATGGGATATGAGACAAGAGTCAAAACGTCCAGGAAAGTCACGAGTTATTAAATCCTTATCCAGATTTCATATCATAGTTCCCAACACAGCTCACATTGTCATCTTGGAAGGCTAAATATCAAGGGTTTTATCAAACAGTGATGTCCTTCATGGACCAAGATGAAGCTCAAGTTTGTAGACACCCTGAAGTCACACCACAGTCACACCTGAAGACTGGATCACATTAGAAAGGTACAAATACAAGTTCTGCAGCAGAAACTCCAATAATGTCAGAAACATGATGTTTTACATGTTTTCCACTGGAAAGGTAAGTCTCTGCTGGCTGATGACTTTACTGTGGAGGTAAACGTCATTTTAGAAAAGCTAAGAACTGTTAAAGAGGTTAGCATGTTCGTACCTGTGAGCTAGCTTGTCTCTCATCTTAAGGTTTGTGGGTAAACTTCGGCTCAGGCTGCTGGTTTCACTCGTGCGTTTAGTAAAGAATGGGACCATGTGGTTACAACTATGACAGATACAACCATGAGTATGACTAGGAGTGGGAATTGAGAACCGGTTCCGAATGGTTCAATCCATTGACATCATTTACATTTTATCTTAACAATTCCTTTAATGATTCCTTGCATCTGGTTGTCAGCCGCTGTTGCTCCATCTCAGCAATGACACGGAAGGTACGTATGTCCTGTGTTAACATAAGCACAATGCATGCCAGACTTGGACTAACCGAGTTAGAAGCACATCAAAAACCCTCAAAATTTTGCACGCGACTCCGCCTCCCACTTGGTAATGTCCTCATTTTGGGGATCCAGAATATGGTCACCCTAATTTGACTTAATACCGACCGAAGTACGATGAACAGTGACTAAACAGTGGGCTTGTACTGTTGTCTTTTCAGCTAGCCTTATTTTCTTAGTGTATGTCTAACTGCACTCTGACAGACACCAGTTAATTCACTACCCAAGATCGAGCAGGTTTAAACACCACAGGGCAAGACGTCTCAAATCAAACATTTTATTTAACAAAATAATTCAGAACAGAATCACTCACCAATTAACAAGGACTAAAATACACAATTTGGACAAAGGAGGGTGAAACACCACCACCACCGCGGGACTGACCGCCACAGGGGAGCCCAGCACCTGGCAAAAAAAGAAACAATTAAAACTTACACAAAAAGTCAAAAACAAATTGATGTGAAGGTTTACTTAACTAAAGACAACCAACAACAAAACATACAATTTAATAACTAAACAACGCAACCAAGAAAACCAACAGAAAGAATACACAAAATTGACAATAAATGAAGCCAAAATACCAAAGGAAACGAAAATAAAACCCCTGCAACAGGAACAAAAAAACTCAACAACGCAAAAAAACAGCCGCGCAGCTCAGAGAGTGTTGGCGGTAAAAACACGTGCGTAAGGTGAGTTAACAGAAGTCAACCAACTTATTTCAACAAAAGGAAAACTAAAATAATACATACCAGAGTGAGTCCCGCACGAAAATGTGAAATAAAAGCCGGCTGAGCACTCACATGGAAGGAGAAAACGCGTCCACAGCGCCAAACAAGCTGGCTATCGCAGCCGCCACGTCGAACAAGAGGAAGTGACATCAACACTCACCTGGATATAAAGGTGCGCGTTGCACCGGCCGGTAGTTCTGGTCGCTGCGCCGCTGGCACAGTGCCCAACAGTGGCCAGGCGGGACATAACCTCCGACCACATACAGTCCAAATCCATGATAAACAGATGAAACCCTCTTAAAATTTCTGTACCTAATGCACTTTTAAGTCCACTAGAGGGCCCCCTTTCATAACATTTTAGTAGCTCAACAGTTTGAAGATATCTGATTGAACTATGAAACTATTACACACCCTGAAACACAATAAACATTAAGAGTAGAAATCTCCACATGAAGTAAATCACACATTAAAAGCTTTTAAATCAGAAAAGGTAACCACAGAAAGACACCCACAAGAAAAAAGCAGTTTGTTTGTGTTTATTTATTTCTAATGCGTTTTATTTTTATTTTTTTTATCTGTCCACAAAGTCATATTAGTCACTACTATGTTAGATCAGTTTTCCCTCACTGCAATGGCAGTAAACTACACAAGAGCCCAAACCCAGCATGGCCCCCTCACCTCGAGGAGATTTGTCCTTTCAGTATAAACAACACCTTCACAGCAACCTTCTTCTCTTCTTTTTTTTTTCTCAAATAATGAATATGCAGGGTCAGCTTATATGTTACCCACTTTTTAAGTGTTTGATGATCTGATTAATAATCAGGAGATAAGGTGCGGTCCTCACATTCATTTGAAAATCACATTGGAGCCACTTACTTGTTGTGCAAATGTAAATTGATAGTTTTTTAAGTTTTTTAAGAGACTTAACTTAGAGTCAGACAAACTAAAGGATACTTTGCTTTGTATTTTTATGGATTTAAGGTACAGTTTTGCTAAATGAATTGATGTCAGTTGTTATCCAGTTGTTACCCTAAATTTGTGACTATTTTATTCTAGAAAAAAGAGGAATACAAACAGATTTGTGGTATCATCTTACTTTTAAAAGTGATATTAGCATCTCTTCTAGGCTTAAAATTCTGTCCAATACTTTCCTGTTGTATGGGCTGATACAAAAGTGGTCCACTTGTTTGTCTGACTCCTTGCAAGTCGGCAAATAGTCATACTTGACCTCCAAAAAGGGTAAACATGTTGGCTCGAGTGCGGATTTAATCACTCAAAGAGCTTTTTATCTGTGCAAGAAATTTGCCAAAAAAGAAGTTCGAGTCAAAGGCTGCCTTTTTACATTCTGAGAAAAAGTCGAAAATCTTTGCTGAAAACCTGTCATCACCGAGTAAATTTGTGTCATTACACATTTGGATTGATTGGCAGGCTGTTTTATTCCCTTCTGCCTGTGGGAGGAGCCGGAGGGACCATCACTCAGGTTTGTGCTCTCTTTAAAAAACACAACATTTCTAGTGCTATCTGTACAACATTCAACAACACATTTCTCTTGTTTTTTTCTTTGTTTTTTTTTTCTTTTTAACCATAATGCCAAAAACAATAATAATTATCATTATAAGAAGAGCATTTTTCCATCTCAACGGCATTGAACAAACACCACACGAACTGAAATAAAAATCTAATAAAGGCCTCGATACCAGATAGTACACGTCACCTTCAAGTGGTGCTAGAGATCGACAGTTTACGGAGGACAGAGAGGAACGTGGAGGAAGAGCAAGCATGGAAGAGAAGGAAAAGAAGGAAGGGAGGGTAAAAGAAAAGAAAAGAGAGGTGAATTATTCAGTTTTGTCAGGTTGATGTCTGTTTTAGTGTCACGTTGGACATGTTTTGGCACCTCAAAAGATTAAATACTTGATAGAGTTTAAGTTGGGCTTTGGTTTACCGAGGGTTACTGTTAAGACCAAACAGTAGTCCAACCCTACACATAAATATATATTATTCTTTACTCATCTAAAGGTTAGGTAGTCTATTCTTTCAAGAGTCTAGCCACGCTAGATTATAAGAAGGCCTAGTGACCTTGTTTATGGCCTAATAGGCCTGAATTGTAGCGGTGAAATCTGGTTTGAACAGCCTCCTCAAGGAGAGAGGAGGGTCAGGAGGTAAAGACATGAGAAAAAGATTAGGAAAATGGGCTGAGGTGATGATGGAAAGAGGAAGAGAGAGGAGGGAAGAAAAGGGTCAGAGACAGAGCGGAAAGGAGAGAGAGAGAGTGTGTAGATATAGGCTAAGTGCTTTTGGTGAGTTTTACAAAATACACCAGGAAGTGCTTGAAACAGAAGGCACGATGGCGTTGACAGTAGTTGTTAAGGAGACACCACTAAGGGACTTTCACTACGAAACTCATAAGGTGCTCTAAAAAAGAACAGAAACACATTAATGCACATTAAGGTGTGGTCGCAATCATAGAATACCCCATCAAAAAGGAATCCGAGTAGTGGTTGACCTGTGTAAGGGGATACTGCTGCCTCACATTTGAACTTTTTTTTAACCTTCGTAAGTAAAAAGTTACAACCGCAATTCCGAAAAAGTTGGGACACTTTGAAATGTTAATAAAAGCAGGTTCTGGTGGTTTGGTTATGATTTCAATTCAAAACCCAATGAAGTAACAATGTCTTTCTTGAAAAGGACAATGTCTGGATAGTAACTATGTACGCTAGCCATGTCAAGGCCACTCCTGCAATACCGTCATGAATACTAGCTTTTGGACCGTGCACCGATGGAAAGCCGATGATTTCCAAGGAGAATGTGAATGACTACAAATTGTGTTCTTGTAGTCGTTCAGTTCTGATTTTCAGCTTTGTCCTTTTTGTGCAGGGACGTCTCTGGATTCCCTGAAACTTGTAACCATAATACGCACTTTAGATGACGAATTCCCCAAATTCTTGCTAATTATGGGCAGAGGAATGTTAATCTGAAAATGTTTAACCGTCTCTCACAGAGTGGTGAACATCTTTCTAGATCTTTATTACAGAATAAACCTTATTTTAATATCCAGTCATGTTACTAACCTGTTGCTAATGATCCTCATTATTTGAAGCGTTTTGTTGTCTTATTAAACATAGTCTTTCAATTACTTTCCAACCATAAAAAACTGCTTTTATCGCCCTTAAGTACTGCATCCCAACTTTCTTAGAATTAAGGTTGTAGAAATACGCCCGAAAAGGTTTGATTGTTTTAAATGTTAAGCTCTAAATGCGTTGATGTAGAAATGATTTGGACCTTCGTCAACAAACCAGTTCAGTAGTTAGATATTTGATACTCTGATAAACTGAATGATAGGTCTAGTTATTCGATGGAGCGAATCTATTGGAACCACAGCTTTACACACTGAAACAACAACAGAAAGTGACAACTTCCATTGAAAAACGTTTGGTCTATCCATAAAGTCAAAATAAAAACAACTACTTTGGGAACTCAAACCTTGCACAGTGCTCTGTATAGACATTCCGACTAGTCTTAGCTCACAAACATTATAGTCAATATTACCTATATTGATAACCTTTTTCTGTAAGCATCTTGAAATGAAAATAAACAAAAGTCTGCTTTTTTTTTCTTGTCTTTACAAAAGCTACACATATTCTACTGGGATGTCTATGCATTTGTTAGTGTTTTAATAATAACTCCTACCATTGTCTTTTCTTTTCTTATAAAAAAAAAAGAAGAAGAGAGGGAATCTAGAATCATCTAAAAGACACCGTACCCCAAGAGTACAGCTTGTTTTTCAGATTTAGGCAGGGTACTGCTTTCTTGTTCGTTCTCTACCAGTATCTCCTCTCCTGTGGAGACGCCGAGAACTTGCTGTTCGTTTGACACAGTTACTAAGTCTCTGTCTCTTTAAAAACGGGAGTCAAGTGATTGTGTTTGGGAGTTCGTCCCTAACATCAGACTCCCAGTTTGTGTTTTGTTCTTTTCATGCATTCACCGCCATTGTAAACACTGAATTTCGAACTGTGACCCCCTCTGACTGCTCAGCCTTAAACCTCTTTATCACATTAAACATTATTAATATCAACTGCTCTTTTCTTCTTCTCAAGTTGGACCAAAAATGGCTACTGTAACGCTGCAAAGTAGCTTTTCTTTTACAACTTAACTATTCACAACACCCTAGAAACCACTTTGAACAAATATACTGTTACTTAAATCGTTTTAAACTGTATATTCAGATAAAATAAATGACCTTTCAGAGCCTTGGTGCGAAGGACAACCAAAGACTCTCTTGACAACATACATGAACAGGCACTAACCGAAAAAAAAAAAAAGTTACAAACTTTTATCTCTGTTTTTCTTAAAGACAATCGTCTAGAAACTTTACAGACAAACAAGGCAGTGATATATAGTCGAGGGAAAGCACGCAGCCTGCAACAGTTACCTCATGCCTTAAATTAATTCCAAATAGCTTAGCCAAGGTTCACAGTTTGAAACTTTTCTAGACTAAACTCCCCCCCCATACCGTGTGTGGGCTGTGGAGGAACTAGAAGTTTGAGGTTTCAAACCGTTTAGTGGTCAGTCAGGAGAGCATCACTTTTACAGCTGGAGCTATATTGGTCAGTTTAGTAGTCTTGGATTTACAGCCCATTGTGTTGACTTAATGCATGTGGAATGATGCAGGATCTACTGCAGATATAAATTATCCCCTTTTCTTGTTTATCAAAAAGGCAGTCCTCATCCAAGTTATCCATTTGAAGTGGACTTAAAATAAAGATTAGGAAAAGTGCCCTCCAATGTCCCAAAAGACTTGAACTTACTTTGTGGTGGACCATTGTCAGAACTAAGGTAGAAGAATAATATCACGGAGAACACAACACCACTGATACATCTCTCCGTCCTCTTCAAAAACCCAGGGTACAAGGCTCCTCCAGAAATGACGAATAAAGGTGCAAATACTCATTTGACCGTTGACCCCTTCTTTAATCCTGCAACGAACGCGGTTGAAAACATCCAGCCCATGTCATCAACAAAGACGGTGTCATCATTATCATTTTAATCTGTTAAGACTTGTTCCTCCTCCCCCGTCATGTGGCCGGGGCTTAGAGCTGGTGAAAGAGCAAGGGACATCCTCAGATCCTGGTCTTGTGAATCCTCCAAACTGCTGTTCTCCAAATTCTCTTCCAGTTCTTCATCCTGCTCCTCATCATTGCCTGCCATCTTCTCCATGAGCCCAAGACCATCCCTGACATCACTGGTCATATCGGAGTCTGAGTGGTCAAGGATACTGTCAAGATGTTCTGCTCTGTCTTCAGAGAGCCCGTTCAGGGTCTTGGGCTGAGTTGAGGCCCATTCCCCCAAAGGTGCCTTGGACTCAACTTCACTAGCATGCCTCCAAACTGTCAGAGAGTCCAGATCAGAGTGCTCTGTTTGCTTGGTGGCTTTTGGAGCTCCCTCTTCATCCAGGGTAGTTGAGGGGGCTCTTTTGCGCCTGGATTTACTGGTGTGGTTGACCTGGAGGTGCATGGCCATCAGCTCTGCTGAGGATGTACGGAAAGGGCAAAACAAACACTGGCTCAATTTGACCCCTGTTGAACTATCCCCTCCGTTATCTCCACCAGCAACATCTCCTGCTTCAAATACACTCATGCCCCCATCCTCCTCCATCCCTGCAAGACCTGGTGAGGTGCGACGGGACAGATCCAGTGGTTCAAACCCAACCCCTTGACTTGAAGGCGCAGGTCCTTCTTTGTCACTTGACGGCTGAACCATCCGGTTAGTGGTAAGCGGCTTACGACGGGACACTTTAGGGGCCTTCGGTGCAGGAGACTCCCTGATCCAGCCCCCTTCCATACCACCTTGATAGAGGGCCCCCATCACCCCAGAGAGATACCTATACTGGGTCTCCAGGTCAACGTCTCTGAGAGCTGCAAGGGCCTTCCTATGCTCCCGCTGGTCTGGAAGCCCCAGGAGCCAAGACTGCTGGCTCGGTCGAGCAGTGGAGGAGTCAGTTTGGCCTCTGTTGACCGGGCAGTGGTTGAGCTGGGATCTGCGCTGCTTGGCCAGTCCAGAGGTCCCAGAGGTCAGACTGTTGATACCAGACGTGAGACCGGAGGAGGAAGAATTGGAAGAGGCTGCCAAGGCATTGCGTTGCTCCCTGTGATGGCGCTGGAGGTGGTACTTGAGTGAACCAGACTGGGTACCCGCATAGTCACAGTGGGGACATTTGTAGGGTCTCTCACCTAAAGGGAATCAGATTTACAGAATAAGGCAGAGAACAGGGTATAGTGGGTCCAACAAGAAACACAAAACAGTGCAGAACACCCAGTCATGGAGGATATTATGTATTTAGGCTTATTTGCCATACTGGCTCAAATCCAGGATCACCCAAATCAAGATGTCACGATTTAGAGACTGCTGGGGAAAGACTCGGTCATCTCTATTGGAAGGTCAGGGGTTTGGACCCATGTTGAAGAGTCCTTGGGCAAGATACTTAACCTTAAGTTGCACCAAGTGCTGTGCTGTCAGTGTTTGAATAGGATTAATTAATACTGATGGATGCTTAACATAGCAGCTCCTGGCATGAATGGGTGAATGTTAAATACAATGTAAAAGCACTTTGAGTGGTCAGGAGACTAGAAAAGTGCTATTCTCAGCCCATTTACTATTTACCTCTGACATCTGAATGAAATAAAAATTTAATCACGTATAAATGAAGCACTTACAGCATTAGTATTTTAATTTCATAAATATGCAGCAACTTGTAGTCAGATGGATGGATGACGGGTCTGCTAATGGGCCAACCTTCAATCAGTTTTATAGAAACAGCACATGCATTTTAGGACGGGGATTTTGGGCTCGCCATATTCATTGGCTGTTTGAGAGTTGTTTAATGTCTGCTGCGTTGATAACTGTTTTATCTAAAGGCGTTATAACTCTGCCTCGACTGTTGGTTAAATTGTCCTACTTTTGCTCAACTTTGTTCACCATGCTTGTCTTTTCAACACTCTGGCATTGTAGCAGTCAGTGACAGCTGGCCTCAGTCATGAAGGGTGTACTCGCTTTACAGATAAGTGGCACCATCTGCTGCAACAATTATCAAAATTTAATCACTAAACCCTAAATGTAAGACTATGCCACTTCCCTCAAAAGTGTCTTGAAGAGGAAAAAAACAAATCTGCTCTTATATCCGTGTCAATATGGTTCTTCAAATCAGCCTAACCATTTGTTGCAACAAAAAAAATAGGAGAGCAAAACTATTCTTAGAAAGCAACTGCCAATAGCCTTCCAGTTCATTTGGGTACCACGGTGAAATAAATGGAAGATACTGACAGTGCGGCCATTCCACTTGCATTTGCACTCACTCTCCATGGCCGGGAATGGCAACAGCAGCGCGGTTAAATCTACAGCGCAGTGAAGTCAGTTTTCGGTTGGATATTCGATGGACATTCACTGTGGAACTGCCAGTGTCTTCTCACTCTCTATACCCGGGAATAGCAAAAGCAGCGCGGTTAAATCTACTCAGCACCCTCACTGTCAACGTCGGGTGTTGAATAAGGGACCATCAATAAATGACTGGTTGATGTTCTCAAAAAAGGCTGTTTTCCTTCAATAGCTTCCATGTCATGTGACCAATTGACCTAAAATTGATTTCAAATAATAGTACTAAGGTCAACCAATAAGACACACGTTATTTGATCAATTTTCATTGTGCCCCCAATGTTCTTTGTGTGCTCCTTATGTTTTTAACTTATAAGCACATGTGGAAACAGTTAGTGTTAGTGTCAAGCCCTGATACTTGCTTCAAAAAGTAGTTTTTAAAACTCTGGAAATGTTCAAAAAGAAAACTCCACCGGTGCCGTCTTGTAAATGGTGGTGTTGGTTGGAGATGTAGTTTCACATTTTGAAGGGAGATGGCAGCATTCCATCACTGGTCAAAAGTACGTTTGTGAAAGATGAAGAGGAAGGAGGGCATCATGCTGGAGGCATATCAAAAGCCGAAAATGTATTATATATGGGAAGCGTAAATGATCTTTGTCACAAGAGCAAAAAACTGATGAATGCAGCAGAACGATTTGAGCTTTTGTTTTTTTTTGGATGAAAGTCTCAAGGGGCTATAATCTCAAGTAGGCAGCAAAAGAGTAGCCTATTATTATAATTTGATGCCTTCACTTAAATTACTGGCCATGTGGTAATCAATTGATGATACAGAAAAGCAGTAGAGCATGAGACAAAGAGCTGTATGCGATCATGAATAATATAACTGTGATTTGATAGGTCCTGTCAGCTGTGGATGAGTATTCATAATGGCAAAAAGATTTAATTCATTGCATTTTGGGCTCTGTCTTGCTGAAAAGACTTGGATGTGGTCCAGTTACCAGTTGCTGGGGATTGGTGGTATTTCTAAAATGGTGAATTGGGGTCGGCATTGTGATCAAATACATGAAATGGAGGCAAATAAGACATGCTGATGACTCATTCCAATAAAGAGTTATGAATATGGAGTGAGATTGAGTGCTGTGAGAGTTCCCAGTTTTCATAAATCGTCTGCGTCAAATTTTTGTATTGTTTTTTTAAGAGTCAAGAAAGCCTGCTAGAGACTCCCACATAAGGTCAGATTGTGGTCAGAATAATTTATATATTATCTATTAAAGGTAAATTTATATTCAGAGACATTCAGAGACAAAGTCAGCTGTTAGAACAATCAGGTTCATGTTACTGGGAGTTATTGGGGGAATCTGTGAGCATTTACTCCACTGTTTACCGGAGAATCATCGTACTAAACAAAACACGAAAAGCCTGAGCCAAACCGTTTAATTTCACAGTTTAGAGTAAGGCGATTCAAGCCAGAGAAAAATTCTACTATTTAATTACGGGGAATAAACTGAATTGTTTGTGTCTTTTTTTACTGATTAGGTTACAGGCTAGTGATAGTGAGTGAGCTTCAACAGTTTTTTGTAGTTTAAATCCCCAGAGTGGCTTGATTTTCCTAAAAAAAAAAACTACTCTTAATATACCCTCCAGCAAGGCGTTTAAACAGAAGTTGCTCTAGTGGAGCTGCTCAGTTGCCTGCAGAACACGGCTATGATTAGCACAAGCCAACTCTCTGGGGTGAATGTTTAAAAAAAGGAGGAAAAAAGTAGTGCTGCTAAAGCATGGATGCTCAATGAATCCTTTCCAGGGATTTATAAAGGTTAAAAAAAGGGGGTTTGTTAAACTCATAGCAGTTCTCACCTGTGTGAACTCTCAGGTGCACTTTAAGATGGTGTGAAGAGCGGAAGGCTTTACCACAGTAGGGGCAGTCTTTAATCCCTCTTCCACGCACTCGCTCCCTGGTGGGAACTGAAGGTATGGAGGATACTGGAGTCAAGCCATTTTCTCCTGCAAGAAAATAAAGGTGAAAACATGTTAAGATAACAGCTGGTGTGGAGGGCCCCCTGAGATCTTCTCTTTGCAACAGAAGAGCAGTATAAATAATATATTCTTGTCATAATAACGCGATTATATGTGAGCGAACACTAAAGACAAGACAGAAACGCATGGATGTGATCATACCCTTGAAGTTTGAGATGACAGAGTGAAACCCTGTGGTTGTTCCTGCTTGTTGTGATCCACCACTGTGCACTTTTGATTCCTGTCTCACTTCTCCTGTATGTTGAGATCCACTGCTGTGTAGCTGAGAATCGAGTCTTACTTCGCCACCACCTCCTCTAACAAGCCCCACTCCTCTCCGACCACTGCTCCCTTCTTCCTCACCGCCTCCTCTTTTTTGGGGTCGCTGCGTGTGAACTCGAGCGTGGACCACCACTTGTTGCAGGCTGCGGAATAGCTTTCCACAATCTGGGCATTCCCATGGTCCTCCTGTTCCCCCAGACTCATCTCTCGGATCCAGGCCTCCGAGGTAAGCTCTGACTTGGTCGGCCTCAGCGATCACCGAGCTCCGACTTTGACTGCGTTGGTCTTGCTGTTGGCCTCGCTGATGGGGCCTCTGCTGCTGCTGTTGCTGAGCTACTGCCAAGCTGCGAGCCACCAACTGCCACCAAGTTGCCTGGTCCCCTCCCTCTGAAACTGATGCCGTAGCTTCACCTGCACCCCCTCCTCTTGTTGGTCCCCCTCCTCCTGATGCACCAATACCTCCACCACCACCATTGCCCATCTCAGCCACCTGAGCCACTGCTTGAAGTCTCTCCATACAGCTGGCTCCGCTGCCGTCACTGGGCAGCCCCAGATAGCCCAGGATGGCTGACTTGCTTGAGCCCAATCCAATTCTGCCACCAGTGTCTCTGTCTGCTCGTCCTTGTCCACCTCTGCCACCACCTCGCTGGGCCAGGAGAAGGCTTGAGTAGAGAGCATTAAGAGACTGATTGGTAGCAGAGCTTTTTGCTTGGTGGTCCACACCAGCTTGTCCTCCGAGGCCTCCCAGTCCCGCTTTAAGTCCAAGTTTGTTGAGATGAACTTTCATGTGGTTTTTGAGGAACCAAGGCTCCTTGAAGCCGCGGCCACACACCTGGCACTTATGGTCCAAAGAGTCCTTGTGCTTACGCATGTGTCCCTTCAGGAACCACGACTGGGTAAACCGCTGTCCACAAGTATCACAGCGGAATGCTGGCAGTGAGGAGGTTGCAGCTACTGCAGCGGCTGATGTCAGCTGCGGGGTACTTGGGGTCGGGGCTGGGGTGTGGGTCGGGGTGGGGACAGGAGTGTCAGGGGTTGCAATGACCGGCCTTGAATTGAAGGTTGATGGTAGAGAGGGTAAGTCAGGGGAAGGGTGACACTCCTGCAAGTGAGATGCCAGGCTCTCCTCTTGGCTGGCAGAGAAAGGACAGAGAGTGCATTTATAGGGGTTGTGGAGAATGCGGACGTGGCGTGCTAACTCTGAGGCTGTGCGGAATTTACCTTTGCAAGCATGGCAACGAAATGTAGGTGCTATGGGAGTAGACGCACCCTCTAAGATTGTAGAGGAATAAGGAGAGGTCACAGAAATTGGGTCCTCTGTTAGCGGAGGGGTCAATGGTGTGCTGTCCTCCAGTAAAAAGTTGGGGTTTTGCTCTGTCTGTAGGCCATCATCAAGACCTTTGACCTCACCATCCAGATCCTCCTCTTCTGTGAGATGCTGGATTAGAGTCCCTGGCAGTAAACGCTGGTTTGGGTGGCTTCTGTGATTCTTGATTAAGTCTTTGTGGTTCTGTTTGATTTTTAGATGTTGTTTTAGGGGCGCAGAGGGGAGACCGGTCCGATACAGGGCTGAGGCTCTGCGGTCTCGGTCCAGACTGTGTGCTCTGGCGTGAAGGGACAAAATACTTTGGAATCGAAATCTCTTTCCACAAACATGACAAGGAAACCTGAGTGCAGGCCCTGAAGATGCCCCTCCAACTCCTGGTATCGCCTTGGTAACAGTATCCTTCTGAAACAACTGAAGGTCTAGCTCATCACTGCAGTTTCCACTTTGCCCTGATGAGAGAGCAAGCTCCAGGGCTCCGAACCCAAGGGCTGGTGCTGATGGTGTGGCAGGAGGAGAGGAGTCCAAACAGGGGCTGCAAGCAGCTTCCTGACCTCCTCCTCCTGGGAATAAAGCAACGGCTGGGGTCGGGGAAGGAGGAACTCCATCCAGGCCTTCGTCTTCATCTTCTCCATCAACATCATGCTGACTGTTGTTGTCATCGTGGATCGGAAAAGGAGAGAGGGGGAATATAGGTGTGGTGTCAAGGCTTTGAGGGGAGGGTTCGGGGCTTTGAATGGGCAAGACAACAGGGCTGTCAGGGAGAGAGTGCAGGGTGTGAGGAGAGGAGGCCTGGGGGCTGTGGTCCAAGGATGGCAGTGTTGGGGGGGACTGGGGCTGCTCACAAGAAAGAGACAGCACACACTCTGGTGGAGAATCCATCCTCTGTCAGTACAAAGCACAAGAAGCAGAGAGGCAGATAGTGAGAGGGAGAGTTACAACTAAAAAACTTAAAGAAGAAAAGGTTAAACTTTAATGTTGTGCACAATTATCTTTAACTGTAACATGTCCTTGAATGCAACTGGAAAAATCCAAACCAAAGACATGGCGGAATGGTATTAGATTGCAGTACTGCGCCCAATGCCGGTATGTGTAAGCGCTTGTGTGTATTTGTAAGTGTGTAAAAGAAGGATGGGGATTACCAGCAGTGCGTGTGATGTTATGCCATTCTTTAGTGTCTCGGCTGATTGGGGACACACTTCTGTGGCAGCCTCCTCCTTTAATTTTCTGGGGACGAAAATAAACAAAATGAAACCCTGATGACAGCACGATGACAAATGAGACACTTTAATTTGAATTATGTCTTATCGAATAACCCGATAATATTGCTCTTGAAATAAGGTTTTACCCACTTAAGAAAAGAGCCCTCTTTAGCACATTATGATGCTATTATCTATTAAAATGAAATTATCATTATCCGTGCAATGGCAGGTGTAAATGCTTTTTAAAGACTGTGCAGTGAACTGCAGGTTGCAAGCTTCTGTCGAACAGGATGAATACCAACTTGTGCTGCGACTCTTTGAATATGTTTCATGATAAATGCTAACATCAGAGAATCATATGCATACTCATTACGGACCCTTTTTGAATGTCTTTTAATGCATGTTAATGTTAAGTACAAAGTAAATCTTTATTTGATCTTAATTTCCTCTTCGGTCTGCGTGGGTGTGTGCGCACACTTGAATGTGTAACAGGTGTGCACCTGTTCTTCCTCCTGCATGTGTTCACAAAGCGCTCCGGCATACTGTTAGCAACATATGGGATGATTAGTCAGAGTGTGAATTTGCACCGGCGTGTTATCTGTCTGTTTGTGTAAGTGTGTGTTTAGGAGTTAAGGGCACCACCACAGGACATGGACTGTCCCAAACAGGATGGGTGCGCAATGTTTTGACTTCCCCACACACCCTTCCTGTGCACTCATACAGTAGCAGCTTTTTGCTTAAATCGGGACTGTATACACACAAGTACACACATAAAACACTTGCGTACAGTATGTTTGCACTTATGCACAGCAGTATTTGTTAAATCTGCTGCCTGGGTGTGGTGGATTTGACCCGTAGACTGCTTAGTCATGGCAAATCTTAAAGTACAAATGTAAGCTTACTCTTGTGTTGACTGTACTGCAACCGTCACCCCAGATAACAGAGTCAGCTAAAATGTAAAGTGTGATATACAGCATATTGAACACACGCAGGCATTTTGGCAGCCACGCTCACACACCCAAATATTTTGAGTGCACAGCAGTTTGCACGAGTTAGAGTGGATTTATGCACATCGGCTGTTTTCGTCCATCATTTGGCGGAGTTGAGAAGCAGCAGAGGCGCCCACAACAAAACAAAAGGTCATCAATCATTGTGGCAAAACAATGGAACATCTGTGTTCGCAGGTGTGACGCCCATATTTGTGTTCAGGCGGCGGTATGGTCACATATGTGTTTATATGATCTGTTGGATTAGTGTTTATGAGCGTGTGCGAGTGTGTCACCGATCCTGGATGACAAAGAGATTCTCATGTAGCCAGTTGACATTTTAGCTCAGCTATGACTCACAGGGATATCACACCATATCAATCACATAAACACACACAACCACAGACACACACTCTCACACACTGAGTCCTTTCTTAATCCACCATTATTGTCCTTTCTCTCCCTGTCTTCCTTTCCCTTCTGTCTTTCTTTCTCTCCCTGATTCATACTCCTCCCATCCCCCTCTCATTCTCTCGCTCCCTCCCTCCCTCCGTCTATTATTCACTAATTTTCTTTCATTCTCTCCCTCTCTCTTTCTTTCTCTCCTGCAGTGTTGCCAGTTGGCAGCGTGCCAGGGAATGCTGATATCAGCTGGTAGATTGGGCCCTGCCAACATGGCGAAGAGCAAAAAATGAGAAAGGAGGCAGACAGAGGGAAAGAAAGAGAGAGACGGAGGGAAACACACAGTGCAGTTAAAAACTGGGCAGCATAAAAAAAAAAAGAAAAAACATTGTCAGAAGCCATGTGAATGAAAACGATTTAATGTGATTGCCAGCATGGTGTTGAGGGGGAAAGAGGGGGAATAAAGGTAAAGAGACAGACATGCTGGAACAGAGAATGGGAGAGAAATCAGAGTGGTGGAGTGGCAGGCTGGGGCACAACATAAAGAGAGAACAACAGATTTGAAAATCATTTGAAAAGTCAACACAAAGACGTATGGAGAGAAAGAGAGAGAGAGAGAGAGAGAAACAGGAAGGGAGAAGGGAGGAAAAAGCAAACTGGGTACAAAATGTATCTGCAGCAGTGTTAGGTCTGATGGAATTATCATATGAATATCACCATCACAATGCATTGTTCTACCGTGACGGTGGCTGTCGCCAACCACCGGCCCTGTCATGCCAATAAAGACAATTTGGATAGATGGAGAGAGGGAGATAAGGTGCAGCAAAGGATGCAGGGAAAGAGGGGGTTGGGGGAGTGAGGGACACAAATCAGATTGGAATCAGGTGGAGCAGAAGCACGTAAGAAATAAAATCAGGTGTAAATGAAGCAAGAAAAACACTAAAGAAGCAGCCATGTACTGTAAACCGCCTCTGGACTTGATCCTAGATTCATTTGTCCACATTATCTACAAATGCATTCACTCCAAATCTGCAAATTGAAGTACTTTTGTAGGCACTCAGAAATCACACATAAAGGGGCTTGTGCAGGTACTCAACAAAGTGTTAACAGTCGGCTTCAAAAGATTGAAATGCCGTATGTGTAAGTGATGCATGCTGCAGTTTCGCAAGGCAAGTAGAAAGCAGATTTTTAAAGCACATCAAGGAAATGCATTTTTAATGTCAGGTGCAAATGTGAGCCACCTAAATCATACAGGCGAGTCTTGAAAAGGGAAGGAGCATAGACTGCATTCCCCCCGCTCGCTCACACTGATTGTTTTTGCTCTGCGTTTTCCCCCGACCCTTACATATGCAGGGAACGTGATGCAGTGTAACAACATTGCAATTTGTATAGTAATGACAGCTTAAAAGCATACCGTTGTTGTGTTAAGCATTGCCGTGATGTTATTACTATAATTGCAGCGTAACTTTGCGAGCACTGAAAATGACTGATTCAAAGACCTGAATTACCTCCACTGAAAATTAGCGTCTGTGACAGGGGTCAATATGCCATCTTCCTTGTTTTAGCCACTCCCTCAAAGAATTAGCTCTGTTTAAAAACTGACAGCTACTTCTACTTCTGCCATTATGTCGCAAGGTGTGTAAAAGAAAGGGTGGGGGTTGCTGAGTCATACATCACATCCCTTATAAATAGTTGCCAAGGAAGTCGGAGCACAATATGTTCAGACAAGTTTATTTTTGGGGGAGGGTTTGATGTCATTGTGTAAATATCTACTCAGCGATATGGTTTTATTGTGAAGGCAGTTAATGCAGGTTTGTACACGCCAGCACTCAACACATCATAATTGTAAATGTAAGGGTGTGAACACCTTTCACTTTGTGTCTCCTGCAGTGTCTGTGTGTGGGCAGGAAGCACTTTATCTGCTCGGCTTTACATTAGTGTTAGGAGCGTGTGTTTGAGGCTGTATGTTTCCAAGCTGCTACCAAATATCACCAATTTGGCGCTTTAACTCTCTGACAATCTTATCTTTACACTTTCTATGAATGAACACAAAGTCTGTTGTAGATAGGGTGACCATATTCTGAATCCCCAAAAGAGGACACTCCTTCGTAGGGCGGAGTCGCATGTAGTAAATTTTAAGGGTTTTTCAGGTCGGGTCAAGTGTTTTTTACGCGCTTCCAACTCACTAAGTCCACGGACATCACAAACTCAAAACTTCCATACAAAACCACAGACATTTGAAGGATTTTATAAACTCCCCCCAGACAAGGCTGGACAGCCCCCCAAAAGAGGACATGTCTGGGTAAATGAGGACATATAGTCACCCTAGTAGACAGGTAGATTTTTGATGTTAGAAGTGTTCTGGTTTAGTTGTACCGTAGTCATTGGCTGTATTGAAAGAAACCAGTGCAAAGACATGGTCCAATATTCAATCCAGGAATCAATCATCTATCATTTTGCCAAGAATTGGCTTTCTATTCCACTTTACTCTAACTTGTCTGTTTAGAAGTTCAAACAACAGCCTTACTTGTAAATGAAGACGCAATAAGTCTCGTTATAGAAATCTGGACACATTATTCCAAATGTGGGACTTGGCTGTTTAAGGTTTATGTCTTGATTGAAAATTCGTTAAGTCTGAAGGAATCAATAGACAAGATGTGAACGTATCTTTGTCTACAGCAATACAAGCTTATTAGTCTTTCTAGGTGTCTGTAGTTGATCATATCCTCACGGCAGCCATCTTCCTGTCACATAACGCTCAAGTATTGTTATCATATTGTATTGACACAGTGTACCAGGTCCTTGATTGGTGACACCTGAAGTCCAGGTTGAGAGCCTCGGACATGGGGACATCGCGAAGACAGAGAAGTCTACACAAACAACCTTTAGTCCTGGTTTTATCTTTTTTATGTGTTTGTGTCCCTGACCATCCAAATAAGCATCTCCAAAGTCTCAGGCCCGGGCCTCAGGCTTTGTCTTTGAGTCCTTACAAGTGTATCTTTCTTCCAACTATATCTCTTGTACTCTCATGTGATAGAGTCGGTGCGAGGTGAGGTGTCCTTGGGGGATGATTGTATGTGAGACTGACCGCAAAGAATGTGTATGAAAGTGAGGATGAGCGGAGGAAGAGAAGGGGAGTCGGCTCTCTGTGCGGTACAGTATAATTTGGCCCTGTGGTTTTTATCGCATGGTCACGTGGCGAACTTCCCCACAGACGGTATTCATTTCCTTTACTTCACCTTTCCCTGAACCCCCCTGCTTCACTCCCAGCTTCGCACCAACTTCGTCTGGCTCGCGCGCTCTCCTCCCCTCCCCTCATCTTCAGCTCTAGCAGTGATAAGGGGAAAAGTCTCCCACAGTGCCTCTACCACTTACTGTAGAGACGTGACAGGTGGTGAGCTTCTTGTACAGAGATGCTACTTTTGTGAATCAATTTGGCCAAACATTTAAAGTTACTTTGCCAAATTAAGGCTTGAGTCTACGTAAAAAAAAATGACGCTGGAAGAATCGTCCTTGAAATGGCAACAGATTAAATGTGGCTGACCTTTTTAGACACATTTTTTTGCACAAGAAGGAGTAAAACTTGTGTAAAAATGACACATTCAGCCTCAGCTTCTGGATTTTATTTGCTCTAAGAAGCCACAAGCCAATCAAAATTAGTCATTTTCTCTTACTATCTTGCTTTTCCCACATTTCGTCCAGTCTAACCTTCCCTTTTCTTCTTCTCCCTCCACTTCTCATCTCCTCCTGCTCTTTCTGAATGAATTCCTCCTTCAGCGGAGAACACGAGCCGACACTTCCCCGCAGTTGCGAAGCGCCAAACTGGGAGATCTGAGCGAGCGAGTCTGAAACATCACAGCAACTCAGCAGAGAAACAGGGCTCTTGCTCGGAGTCATACAGGCCGTGCAGTGTCTAAACCAATGAGCGGAGGTGCTGACTGACTTGTCTGATTTAGGATTTCAAGACTCAGGCCTTGAAAGGAGAATTGGTTTGGAGCATGCAGATGATACGGGCAAATCATCGGATGCGTTTATCTTTGAACGCTGGAGTTCACCTGCAGGGGTTAAGAAAAAAGAAGCGGCTGACGGGGTGAAATGAGCGCCTGCGTGATGTTTTTAGTCTCTAATCAAATATCCGAATGTGTACAAAAAAATGACAATCAAATTTTGCTTGTGCCGATGTGAACACAAATTGGCCCCAAATTTTTTCTAACTTGTTTCAAGTGTCCTTGAGGAAGGCGCCAATCCCCCTCATAACCCCAGGGACACTGACCCTCACTGTGACCCCCTTGTGGAATATGATTATCGCGTATATCAGACATGTGAGCACCTATAGAAAAAAAAAAATAGAAACTGTTAACACGGGATGATTCTTTACTCACCCTGGGGAAATTTACAGAGCGTTTGCTCTCTTTCTTAGTAACACCTTTCTTAATGCACTCTCGATTACACTTAAATATTCACGTACACTTTATGGAAGGGTCAATACTGACACCGACATTCATTTTAGCACCTTGCTCAAGGGCACCTTGGCAGAACATGAACTTGGGAGGAAACTTTGTTGTAATAAAGAACCTGCTTGAGTTCAATAAAAGTTTTATAGCTGTTTAGGGCGGCACACAAGGCCTGACCTTGTTTAGGGTCGACTAATAACAGCAATCCAGCGCCGATACTGATATTAATCGTTAGTAGTTCATGAGACTAATCATCATACAGTAAAAATGAAAAACTTAGCGTCAAAATTTCAAATTTGCTATTCTACAAACCCCAACGAAAGACTTTAACTGACTTTGAGTAAAAGTGCAGATTCTTGAGCGTTAAATAAAATACTCTGATCTGAGTATAAGTTTCGCACCTTTAATCTTGCTTTGGTATATTTTATGTACAACAAATTCAATATGAATGTGACAAAAGTTAGGTAGTTTCATTGGGGATAAGTACAGTGAATAAAACTGATACAGATGATCAACCCCTGAAATCGGCCTCAAGAGTGTATAGAGTCTAGGATGGTGCAACATTTCTTTAACGGAGCATTAATTTTGAATCATTTTAAGATGGCGCATGTAAAGTGATGCAAAAACAGTTGAGGGATGAATTTTTAAAAAAAGAGTGCCTGACTTTAAAACTTGATGCAACAGCAGCGCAAAATAAGCGCATTTTTAGATTGTAGTTTTGAAATTTAAGATAAGATGTTCCTTTAATAGTCCCACGGGGGGAAATTTCAAAAAGTTAAGAGAAAATGTCGACCCCATTTACCCACAAATCAACAGTGTTTAAGGGGGAAGTGATACACTTTTTTTAATCTCTCACTTCTCGATGATCGGACCATTTCTTGAGTTTTACCTGCCGTTATAAATCAAAGCGGACCCCTTCTTTGGATTTTGGACCTCTTTGCTTGGTTCTTGCTTACATGCTGTGTACCTGTCCGCCTCTGTTTTAAAAATAAGTTTGAAACTGGTCTGCCAACTCACTACAAGTGGCACAAGTGGCGTACTATTTAAGTAAGACCCTAATGCTCTAAATACACACTAATCCCGAGCAGCCAGCAGAACTCTCAACAGTCTCAAAATGTCACAATGCAGTAGATTCTCCCTAACTGAGGGCAAGCAGGTGCCTCTCCCGCAGCGCACTAATGACCCAATTATATCAATCAGAAGCCTTGATTGGTGCTACACTCCTCTCCCTTTTACTCTCTCTCCCTCTGTCTCTGTCTCTTTCTCTTTCGCATACAATCTCTTCCCCAAGAGCCACCTGGATGGGGTGTATGTGCCCCCTCAAGTACAGTACAGTGTGTACAAAGATGGGGAGGAGGCGGAGGTGATGGTGGTGGTGGAGGAGGAGGAGGACACTACTTGAGAACAAATAGCAGAAAGGTCTGAATGAAGCAAAACCATTAGACCCTTTTTAACATGGAGACACTGTACGATGCATTAGTACAGTGGGTTTTGTGGAGTACTTGCGAGGTGAAAGCATCTTCAGGAGACAACCTGTAGGGGTAGAGGAGGACACTTATATCGTATAGGGGAGGTATTCTTTTCCTTTTTAAATTTCAATATCTACTGGAGGTGGGTTTTTTATGTTTTAATACATTATTAAGGCAGCGGACTAGACGAGAACACGATAAAAGTCGCTTTAAAGGGGGAGAAATGTAAGAAAAACTGTAATTTCAACAAGAATTTCTACTTTTTTACCTGCAAATTTTATCCTCTTTGAATTCCAAGATGAGTAACTATTATATTTTGTTGTTTAAGTTTCTTTTCTATGGAGAGTACGTGTGAAAATACACAAATCCCAGATTAAATAAATGAAGCAAACAGAGTTGAAGGCTCCTCCACAACATGCCTGTTTGTAGGACAAGCCAGCAATGTCAACCTACTTCCACTTTGCACATGCTCTCAAAAGTGTGACATTTCTGGTGGATTTAAAAATAGGGCATTTCAGGATCCCTAAACATATTCCTCTGGATACAGAAAAGGCGTCAGGAGTGTCTTCGGTCAACCCAGATGACACGTCTGCGCCTTATCTCATGAGGAATTTCCTCCTCGCCCCTGTGATGTGCGTCAATAACGTGCAACCATTTTCAGTCGCTCTTTCCCCTCTTCTCTCTCGCGGCCATCTCAATTAGAGGCACATTAATGAAATAAATAACCATCAACAAACAATGCACTTATGAACACCCCCACTAAAATGAGATTAACCCTGCGTGCAGATGGGGTCCGCGCACAATAAAAAAGCGGTTAAAAATCATAACAGTGGGACGTAGTTTTTGGAAGTCGGGGGTGGCGTGTGTGTGTCATGTCAGCCTATCTATCGCTCTCTCTCTCTCTCTCTCCCCTGCTCCATTTTGTTCTTAAATTTTCTATACAAAAGATTAAGGGAGGGGAAAAGACGAGTGAGCGAGCGAGCAAGGGAGAGGACGCGAGGAGAGGAGGAAAAAAAAAAAGTGCCATCATGGGTTTCATCTTGAATCCTCTGCCAATCTCCCTGACCGACATCAGTCCCAAAAAGCGACATCTTGTCCAAAAACGCACATTTTACAAGCCGAGATGCAAAACCGGTAACTTCTCTTCGCTGAATACAATTTGGCAACACGCGTTTTGCACACACACGACTACAACGCTGCATGCCACACTTGCTATGCTACTTTCTGAGCTTGAGGTGATGTTAGGACAACTAAACGGGTTGTAGTAAACATTGTAGTAAAAGGTGAGCAAAGTGTAAGGGTTTTTTGAACACTATTACAGCCTGTGGATGCGTTTGTGCGCACATCCCAGATGAAAGTGACGGTGCTTTATCTCGAAAACAATGCACAACACAATGCCTAATGTGAGTCCAACAAAAGAATTAGTCAAGCTAATCGTATCTACCCACAAATTACGCTTTGTAAATCAACTTGCTAACATGCAAAAATCCACTTTTACGCCCGGACAATATGTCTGCGGCTTATCGAAATCCCCCCGTTACGCACCGAGAACTTGTGCCTCCTTTTGTAAAAGCTACTTTTTGTCGGTCAGACGTCGTTTTCTCAGAGAGGTTATGAGGAGAAAATTAAAAAAGAGGAGGTCATAGCGCTGCCTCGTCTCCTAACTGCGTTCTCACGCGGACAGAAACGACTGCTAGCTTACCAGAACTTGGTTAAAGTTACGCGAATTAACAAAAAATACATCTTTACCCTCTCTGAGTGACTTTTCGCGCACTTGCAGTCGTTGTAAAGTCGCCCTTCGTCTCTTTTACACTTACCGAATCGACTCTTTCAAAATGTTAAACCGAGTGGTGTCTGAATTTTGAGAGAAAACGGCGCATTTCTCCCCCTTTTTTTGTCATGTCACGGGCTGCGAGAGGGCTCGTGGGGCTACATGAATGTCGGCCACGCGCGCACATACACCGGCTTACATACATGACACACACGTAAAGTGGTCCGGAGCGCGCGGTTACATACATAGGACCCTAACATATACGTTCATGCTTCACGGTATGCTAGCTCCCATGCGCGCACACATCCCCCCCAAAAAACTGGCTGTGAAATAAAACACAACAACAACTAAAATTGGCCATTATCCCGAGTGTTGCTCGTGAGCAAAAAAAAAGAAGAAGAAGGCAACAACAGTCGCTGTAAATTTAACAATTTGGGTAATGTTTCATCCCTTCTGTTTCGTGCCACCATGCATAAAAGTGTATATGTAAACAGAGTGGTGGATAAATTTAAAGTAGATAAATGGAGATATAGGATATATGTTGAAAGTAAAGACTCAGTGTACTTACGGGAGAGGCGGCGAGGAGATTAATGACACGACACGTCATGATTACGTTTCACTTGAATTAAATACATTACGAGTTGGGAAAAAAATGGAAATCAGGGTTGTATACAAGCATACGCCGTTTCCCCCTCCCTCCTCCCTCCCTCCGTTTGGTCACCCTCTTCTCTCCCTCTCTCTCTCTCTCACTCTCTCCTCCTCCTTGTCCTCCTCCATCTCCCTTTTCTCTCCTTTTCTCTCCCTTTTCTTCTTGCATTTTTTCCCATTTATTGTACAGGAGGAGTTTGGTGAATAGAGAGAAGCAAGAGGAGAAGTGGGAGGGAGAGTGATGTAGGTTGGAAATGTTAATTATAATCTCAGCACGGGCACCATTTTACAACGCTGTCATCTCTTCACATTTGTATCCTAAATATGGCATCTGGGGTGGCGGGTAGCTGACAGTTAGAAGAGACATTTTTTTTCTCTTTTGGGAGAGGAGAGGGAAGAGAGGGGGGGAAAGTTTCAGACTGATTGAAGTGTGTTTAAAGTGATGACAGGGACAAGAGGCAGCCGAAATGTTGTGGTGAACCACCCCGGAAGCCTACGGTCACTTTCAGGATGGGTAGAACCGAAGTGCACAGATTTGGATGTAGGATTTCCAACATAAGGCCCGGGGACCTCTAGGAGTGCCTCAGGGTTCCCTAAGGGGTCCTTGACAAAACCAGGAAAGTAAGAGTCACAGAAGTTGTACCAGTTCAGGAAAATAAAGCAGGCAACTGCTTCCAATGTTGACATGTAGTTACTGTAAAGGTCCTTACACATCGGGACCGACGCAAATATACGACACGAAATTACGGAATATTCAGAGGCGAATTTTGACGCACCGGTCGTACACATCAGGCGCGATGCGGTATTGCGACTTTCCAGGGGGGAAAAGACGTGTCCTGGGTGGAAGCGAGAAGACTGACACAACAGCAGACTGAGTGTTTTTCAGTTCTGATTAGACTCTAGTGTTGAGATGTCTGTCTGTCATGATAGCATGTACTGAGTCGGGGTCAGTACCAGATAAGAACATTAAACTATAATCCATAAACGTAAGGTAACAACCGAGACCTAATGGTGCTGTGACAGCAACGCGACTGAGTTTGAGACAGTGAAAATACATATGGTATGTTGTATCTCAACAGGTTAGCTTACGAGCTAAAGTTACTTAGCATAGATGAAAGTTAAAACAAAGACGTTTATCAAACTGTTAAAGCACACAAACCATCGTCATATGAGAAATCCAACGCTATAACTCTCTACAAATTGTCCTTCATCTTTGTAATGTTTGTGTCTTTTCTCCGACACGTAAACAATCAGCCGGTCGGCCAGGGTTTTTGCTAGTTGGCTACACAGTGCTAGTTTTTCTTAAAAATGTTTTCCTCTTGATTTTGTGTCTCTAAAAATTGAACTTTTCAAAAACACCTTCCGATGTTTTCAAGATTGTTCAAGAAAGTTTCGGGAAATGCTAATGGTCATAATCTTGATTTCTGTAGAGGTAGAAAATCACTTATTCTGGTGTCGTGACTCCAACTGTCTGGTGATGCTGTTTCATGAAGAAAGGGGGAAGGTTGTGGTGAATATTGTGGTGATCTACCCCGGAAGCCTACGGTCACTTTCAGGATGGGTAGAACCAAAGTACAAGGATTTTGATGTAGGTTTTCCAACATAAGGCCCGGGGACCTGTAGGAGTGCCTCAGGGTTCCCTAAGGGGTCCCTGACAAAACCAGCAAAGTAAAGGTTACAGTAGATGTATCAGTTAAGGAAAAATAAATCAAAAAATGTGAAGTAAACATGTACTAAAGTGGTGAAAGTATTACTCTTTTCATTTTGGTTTATACTTTAGTAGGGGAGATTGGGGTAAATTGAGCCAAAGGGTAAGTTGAGCCACCCCCTGTTGCTTGGAAATGGTAAAAGAAATTGATCATGTGATCAAATATTTAGGAGATGGGCATCAATTCATGGAGTCTGTGAAGGTTAGAAGCACACGGTTGAAGGGGTTAGACATTCATTTAAATTAAAAAAAAAAAAAAAAAAAACATTTTTCACTCTTAAAAGTGAATGTAGTCTGTCATAAGTTTTATTATAATTGTGTTCAGACCAAAAATGTTCATTTTAAATATGTTTTATGCATTGATTTTGGTATCTATGAGCTACAACATGAGGTCAAAAACCTAACATAAAAGTCCACCATTTTAACTTAGAGGACTAATAAAGTCATAATAGTTCTGGGGTAAGTTGAGCCAGTGGTTCAACTGAGAAAGTAAAGGAGTCTGATGAGAGGATCAGAGTTTCAGTTCAGATTGTTGAAATGTTTTTAATTTTTCTTTTAAAAAATACAGCTGTGAATGTTCTGAATCACTTAAAGACATTCTCATGTTAAAATGGCTTTTAAAAAAAACAGCGTTTTAGCAGTTATGTGCAAAAATAATTATTATTTAATAATTATTGTACCAGTTGAATAGCATGTAATTGATAAAAATACACATGAATGTGAAGAAGTGACTGTTATTTAGGGGGAGAGAAGGTGAGGGAGGGCTGGAGAGTGGGGGGGTAGTAGGGAAACGGCTCAATTTACCCCGCTCCTATGGTCAACTTACCCCATACACAGGGTAAGTTGACCATAGGAGACGTCTTTTTTTGGTATGCTATATTATCAAGACAGTTATGTTTACACTCATTCTGTTGGTTTGCAGGGATGCACAACATCTTGATATGCAGATACACTAGTTAGAGACAAAACTATGATTGCCTTGATGTAGTGATTTAGAATATGAAAAATGTCTCATCTTACTCCACTCTCGCCTCCTCGCTGGGTGAAGCCACTCCAAGAACAGCACCCTCTGGTGACGGGCTGCAGTATAGGTCATAAATCCCGCCTCTGCCAGCAAAGCTTACGGAGCTGTGGACAAACTTTAGAAATTTATTACACAGAATATAAAGATCTTACCTGGGGAATACGCTGTTTGAGCCGAGCATCATCACAGCGACTCTCTGCGACTCTCCCGCCGAATGCGTACAACACTACTGCGCAATGTTGGTTTTAGGAAGTGGAGAAAAAACGCAGAATTACCGAGAACTTTTCGGCTTCAAATCCGCATACAGGCGGAAAGCGGAACCAAGTTGTCTATAGTATATACAGTCTATGCTCTAGTACAAATACTCACTTTATTATAGTGTTTTTTCCTTCTACTGTTCATCCTGTATACTGCCACCACCAAAATCTGCATGAGCATCCCCTCCTATCTGACCTTTTATAAATGGTATGTGGTCGATGCACCATGCTGTGCTAAAATTGAAAACGCCTCTCAAGCTGCAAAGATAAATTTGTAGAAAGCGGGCCATTTAGAGGCAGAATAACTCAGAAACAAACAGCTGGACTCAGAGCTCTGGCTTTGAAGAAAGAGTTTTAAGGCTAATATGTGGGTTCAACTCAGTAGGCTGGGGCACAAGAGGACAGTGTACACTCGCTGGTGTTTTAGGCTAAACTTAGCAGGTGTATTGAAAAAATATAAATACACAAAACCTTCAAAATAAAGTTCTCTAGGAGTATTTCACAGGACTACTTCAGTTAAACTTGAGAGCCAGTAAAACTCTAATGAGTTCAATGTTTGAAGGAAGGCTTTGGTTATCCTATCTAAGCAGAAATAAAGCCACATCCAATTTATGTAATATTATCAAGATGTGCTAATTATTGAATTCTAAGTAGTCCAAACCCATTCAAGTAGTAAGGAGATTAAAACTGTTGCCACTGTGGTAAATACTACTTTTTCCGTAGGCATGCTAATTTTGACGAAGTCCAATACCGCGCCTCTTTTAGCCCGTTTGATAATCATCGTCTTACCAGTTATCTCAGTGTAGAGTACAGGGGTTTGATAGATTTCCATATCAACACATAATAACCAATAATATCACCAATATGTGAAAAAAGGGTTCCAGTATCAAACTTTATGAATACACAGGTGTGTAAAGTGAATGTCAGGCTGTTTAAGTGGATTTCACTCTTTGGAATCTGTTTTTAATGCAAAATTTACCTGAACCTTGAAGTTTCTATTATGGCCAGCAGGGGGCAACTCCAAAAGAAGCAAAAAAGCAGCTAACAACTAACCGTACATCTGACTCGATCTCTAACTCAGGAAACTTTCCCTTATCACAAGTTCAACATTTGTTAAGAACAGCATGATTTTCTGACTGTAAGTTGTAAAAAGCCTCCTGCTAATGACTGAAATGAACACACCTGTCTGTCAAGTCAGCTCCGCCCCTAATTTAGGCCTAATAATTCAAACTACATAACTCTGGAACATTTGGACACAGCTTCAAGTGGAACTGCAGTTTTCAGCTCTTAAAACAACAGACTTCAACAGTGGAAGTATTAAACTAATAAACTCGTATTCAAGAAAACATCCTTATTAATGTAAGTCATAAAAGCCCCATGCTAATCAAACTAGCACTAGCTTAGTTGTCGATCCAAGCGTTTTTGAAACTTTCACCTCATTTAAACTTTTTCAGATCACCATATAAAGTAACGGGCAAATTAACAAAGTCGAGGCTGTGAAAGTAAAATAGATGTTGAGAAAAAGGATTTTTGCTAGTTGGCTAGACTATGCTAGTTTCCCTTTTTGCTTCTGTCACTGAATTCTTTGTTTTTTTCTTTCTGGTCCACTTGATTTTGTGTCTCTGAAAATGAATTTTTCAAAAACACCTTCTGATGTTTTCAGGATTGTTCTAGAAAGTTTCAGGAAATGCTAATCGTCAAAATCTTGATTTTCTCGCACTCTTGGTTAAGTAGCTTTACTTTATCGTCATACCTCAGGATGGGTGCAAATAAATGTAACGCACTTGATACTCTTTGATATGCCACTCGGTGCAGTTAAGAGAACACGATAACAATCGTAAACCCTCAATAAGATGCAGATTATGCACTTTCACAGTCTTCTTCTATGGTGTTTGATGTGACAGAATGATTGCACATTATCTCCCGTTATCTTACTGGACTAGGCGGGACAATATTTGGACAGGATTTTTTTGAATTGATCTATGTTTTCAAATATCTACACATGGATGTAACCTTTGCCCTCAACCCTACTGGATCCATGTCGAGTACATTTCTGCTCCAGTACGGCGGTGGAGTGGATCGGTTTCCACTTTCGCCAATG